ATCTCAAACAATTTCCTCTACATCAGCTCCTCAATTCCAAACTCCTTTAACCTTAGTTCTCATCACCTCCAAACTAGTTACAACAACTTCTAATTCAGTCACGCCTTCTAATGTCTATATTACTCCAAATTCTGAACCAGATTCCATATCTTCCCCAACATGCTCATTGCCCGTCTCTATATCTTCACCTTCAAACCATATCTCTCCCCCACCTCAACAAACTAACCCAATGCTTACTCGCTTCAAAACTGGACATCTAAAACCCAAAAATATTGTTAGCATGTCTCATTGTTTACAGCCTATGGAATATCCTTCATGTTACTCTCAAGCTTCTAAGCACTTGAAGTGGCGTCAAGCTATGTCAGCCGAATTTGACGCTTTACAAGCACAGAGCACTTCACTTGGATACTTGTGCCTCCATCACCCATTCAAAATGTTCTTGGGTGAAAGTGGATCTATAAAACAAAATATAATGCAGATGGCTATATTACAAGGCATAAAGCATGTTTAGTGGCACAAGGTTTTAAGCAAGAGTATGACTTAGATTTTTTAGAGAAATTTAGTCCGGTTGCAAAGTTTCCAACTATACGCATTCTTCTTACCGTTGCCGTGACACACAATTGACGGTTGGGCAGAAGTCCTGCGTCAGTTGACGGTCTTGCAGAAGTCGGGCATCGGTCTGTAGTCGGACAGAACTCCAGTGTCAGTCGGTGGCCTGACAGGAGTCCAACGTCAATTGGTGGCTGGCAAAAATCTGGCGACAATTGTGGCCTGGTGGAAGTCCGATGGTGGTTGAGGAGGAGTCTGATGGCAAGAAAATTTTCTTCCTTCTCTTAATTCTTTTCCTTGCTTGGGTCCCCTTCCATAAAAAAATGAGGGGTCTATTTATAGTTTTATGAGATTGACATGGCCAGTAAATAAGAAGGAGATTAAGGTTAAATTGGGAGCAGTTTGAATGGACAACCGATGTTGATTCCCTTGATTGTGGATCGTTTACTGTGCATTTGAATGTCTTAATGATAACAAAATTTGATGTTCTTGGGCTTGTTATTGGATTCATCTTGTCAAGTTGCTCGATTCAAATATAAGCACGTCACATTTGAAAATTATTTTGTCATTCAATTTATGGTTTGAACTCTTCAAATGCACTTCTGGTTTTCGATTTTGGCTCAGATTGAGTCAGATTTGTTGTCATTGGGTTCATAATTCTGAGACATTCAGTTTGATTGTAAGTTTACTGAAATTGGAGTACGAATGACCCCAAATTTAATTTCGAAAGTTTTCAACTTGATTTTGCCTCGAGATTCATGCCCGATCAAGATTTTTTTTGATGATAAATAAAAAATGAAAGATTAAGATTTAAGGCTTGGTTCGGGATCGCTTTTTTATTTCTTCTTAAAGCAGCTTTTTAATACAAAAATTAAATTTTATACATATACCAAAAAGTTTGAGAAAAAATATGGGTATGATATTAGGAGTTAAAGTTGGTGTTAACAACATGTATCCGCTTTATAGGCGATGGCGTACGTCAATGTTGGTGGTGATGAAGTCGACAAGCGTACTACTTCTGTGGTAATGGCTTGTGTTAGAATTATAGGTCATAACATACTTTAAGGTTATAAACAATGGCATGCGACTAAGTTGGTGAGGATCGATGACAAACATCAGCCTTATCGACGATGGCGTCCATTGATAATATTAGCAAACATTAGTGGCAAAATCAGTAGTTGTTGATGTTGGTGTTCACAAAATTAGCAAGCGTCAATTATTTTGATGATGTTGTGCATCAAACTTATAAATGATAACGTTTATCAACATTTTTAGTAATGTTAAGAGAGTAAATTTAGTTGAAATTAATATTAGCGTCGATGGCGTGCAACGATCTTGTAGGTAGTAGCGTGCATCAACAATATGTGAAAATTTGAGCAGACATCGATGTTGGTGTCAATAATATGCATCAACCCATTAGTCAATGGTGTGTGTTCACGCTATTGATGATAGGAGGTGACCAAGTGAATGTGGGTCGATGTTGTAGGTGATAGTGGTTAAGAGGCTATAGCTGGTGATGATGGTCAGATGTCATATTGAAAATAATGCTCATATAATTACAATACACATGCGATGGTGGTTGAGATACAATAGAAATTGACGATGATCGAATGATCTTAGCCGAGTGATGATGGTCGAGATATCATAGTTGGTAATGATGGTTAAAGAATCACAATCATGTGATAATGGTTAGGAAATAATAGACAACGATCATGGTCGAAGTATTGTGTTGAAGCTATAATAGTGAAAGGACAGAAATTAGACATCATTAACCAGAAGATTGCAGTCGAGCAATAGTAGTTTAGATCATAGCATGACAATGGTGATCAAATGACTATAGTTAGGAAATCATGATTAGAAGACTACAATCAACCAACGATGTTCGGTGGGTTGTAGTTAGACAATGGTGGTCAGATAATCTGGAATAAAAACAAGAAAATGATATAAATTATTTTGATGTATATATTGACGTACCTTGTTGACAACAAATGATATATGCAATCTAGTGATGGTAAGATAATAAAGAGATTTGACAATCTATCTATTAAGAATTGAGGCACAATATAAAAAAGTAAGGTTTTTGCATCACTTAATATAGGTTATGGCTGTGGTTTTAACCATCCCAAAAAAATACTTGTAGCGTTTTAAAACCGTTGCAAGACTACTATAATTATTGCTTGCTACAAAGGTCTTCCACAACGGTTTTGAAACTATTGGGAAGGCAATTTGTTGCACTAGTTTTAGTAGCAGTTAATTGCCATCATGTCATGATAGAAACAACTGCTATAGCTGTTGATTTGTGGCAGTTAAAACCATAACATTTTTTATAGATTTTAAAAAAATATTTTACACATTGGATGAATTTGTTTTATGCAAAAACAACTTAATCTTAAAATATTAAATTGAAATTTTATAGTCTTGATATTATCCTAAAAGTACTTTAAGGAAAACAAACTTGTAATGTAGTTCCATGGAAAGGGAGCCTCCTAGAACAATATTTTTGTAGGAGAATTAAGGGCCAGGGTCTGAGCTCACACACATAATATATACATATAACTCAAACTCAAAATCTTTTAGTTGATAGACAAAACACCTAATCAACAAATCAAGGAGAACTATTTAGTGTAAGGTATTTCCTTGCCACAAAAAAAACTTGCTCAACAAATCATTATAGAAGTTGGAAAAATCCCCAAAAGTGAATTGAATTCCTTGGAAATTTTGTTGTCAGTATTGAAATGGTCCATTTTAAAATTAGATATAAGTTGTCATTACAAAAGCACTGCAATAATAAAAAGGAAGAGGAAACGAAATACTTTCTTCAGTTAAAATATGTTGCCAAACAAGTTCCATGGCAAGTGTAAAAAAGACCAACAATACATAGAGTTGACATCACCACACTAATGTAACATACAAGTGGAAGAGCAAAGCAAATTATAAAAAAACATTGCAAAAAATTACCAAATGTTTTTCGAGTTGCTCGACCAGTTGAACAACTGCGGTGGGACTGTAGTTGTTAGTCGACGCTATGGCAGCAACGCTATGGCAGCGACGTGTGGAGAAAGCACGGCGCTGGATTGATCAAAGGGAGAAAGGTTGAAGGAGAGGAGGAAAAGGCCAGGGAGGCTCACAAAACGAATGAGATGTTGCAGCTCTCTTAAGAGTTTTTTTTTTTGCGACTTCTATAGCGACGGTTAAAACCGCTGATAAAAGCTACACAGTTAGTAACAATTGGGCACGACTACATGGAATTACCTAACCAATCACGATAAATGCATAAGAAAATAAATGTCAACATATGCACCAACCATTGAACTTAACTATGGGGCTCGACTGTAGGGAGCTACTATGACCAATCATTTTTTTTTTTAAGTTTTCTCTCACTAATTGTGAGGCTGAATAATCGACATCCTGCAACTGTTTAGAAATAATCGTAAAATGAAATAATAAATTAACATACAAGTAATTAGCAATCTTGCCTCGCTAGAAATGAATGCACCCTCCTTAATCAATAGTTGTTTAGGGGCTGTTTAGTTGTAAATATTTATAGTTAAGCTATATTTAAAATGCATATTAAAATAAATTCAATCATCTAAAATAATATTTATTATTCGATTGGTTTTAAAATAAATATAGAATATCACTTTTTATTGTTTGAATAACAGTAATGTGAATTAATTTTTTGTATTAATATATTATTTTAAAATTATTTGTTATTAGAAGTATATGACACAAGACGTGATTGGCAGAATTGTGGTGACGACTGTGATAATGGCAGAAGTTAGGAGCGTAAAAAAATGTCCCCACCTGCCAATTTGGCCCATACTCTACCCAAAAAATTTGAGTTTAGGTTGAACTATTTTATAAACATGTCAGGTTCGAGTTAACCACAAACATGATTTTGATCTGAAAGTGATCTATAGTTTGTCATGTTTGGAATGATGCTGGTATGTGCGAAGAACCCAAACAGTCCTAAGAATGAAATAATGACATTAGACAATTACAGAAACATGATAAATGATTAGGATTGAGTCAGCGTCGAGTTGTCACAAAATTGATTGTACAATATCAGAGGTTTCATAATGCTCGAAAATAAGACCATTTTATGAATTTGACATCATTTGCTCCTAAATAACATGTTTTCTAAATTAGCCAAATTGGGCGAATTTAAAATACTTGGAAAATGTTTTTAGATGTTACTCCTATTTCTTAATAAAATTTATTTTGTAAAAAAAAAAATTTAAATGAGAACTAGAATATATGTCGTACTTTTGGCGGAATTTTTTTTGGTAGAATTCAAGTATAAAAATTAATTAGAAATATTTCAAACTTATTTTATTTGTTTTAAAATAAATATAATATTAATAACCAAAAGAATAATCCTTATTTCCTGACCCAAATATATATATTTTTTCTATTTTTATAAAGTGTATTAAAATTTACTACCAAACTAATTTATCGTCACCGTGAGCGCGCAATTGCTCGTCGAAGATCATTTTTGCCCTATTCGCCATCACCACACTTCTCGAGCTCTCATCGTTTCGAGGACGCCATGTCCATTGCTTCTTCTATCGAGCACATCATCCCACGCTGCTACCTCTCTCTTAAACCCCCCGCTTCCCTTCCTCGCGCTCTCCCCCTACTACGGGCACACCGGCGCTTGTTCTTTCGTCCGCTCTCCTCTCCCGTTGCCGCCTCCGTGGACTCCACCGCAACCAAAGGTGAGATTTTTCTTTCGACCCAATCCTCCCTGCTTTTACTAAACCTAACTGCTTTCATTCTAAGTTGACGTACTTCAGATAATGCTCGACCGCCTAGTACAGATGATGATACTTCGGTGTCTGTGGCATCGGAGAGGTCCCTGGTAGACGTCAACCCGCCCAGAGGAACAAGGGACTTTCCCCCGGAGGATATGCGGCTGCGGAATTGGCTTTTCAACAACTTTAGAGAGGTAGAAGATTGGGCTTTTTGAATTGAGAAAATAGCATTTTTAAGGTGTTTGTGCTTATGCTCCATTTTCGTGTTTTTTTGGTTTTGGATTCATCTTTGTTTGCTATGTAAGGTATCTAGGCTGCTGTCGTTCGAGGAGGTGGACTTTCCCGTCCTCGAGTCGGAAGCACTTTTTATTAGAAAAGGCGGGGAGGAGATCACCCAGCAGGTTCATTTTGCTTTACATTTTTTTGTTAGTTGATAAGAAGAGAAGTGTTGGAGTCATATTTCAGAAATAAAAGATATTGCGACTCATTTGTAAAGATTTGCTATTAATAATATGATTTACTGTACATTATATGGTATTCTATGTAAAATGAAGAGCATAGGAGTAATTGAACATTATTAATAAAGGCCTCTTTGCTATTGTTATTCCTAAGCCATGTGTTTTAACCCAATTGGGATGCATGGATTAGCTTTTGTAGGCACATGTCTTACATTTGTAATTGGACTAGGCTTTGGTACAAATAGCAATCCCCATGCCTTTCTGAGTTTAGCTTATGGCATGGGATATTTGGACTTTCTCATGTTGTGAATGGCTTGTTCCTTGGCCTACTTGTTGCTAGATTTACTAATATCAAGATCAAATGGGACTGGATGAACATAAGGAAAAGTAAAATTGGTTATAGTTTTTTATGAATGGTAAGAGAGTTGTACGTAGCCTGCTTGGTGTGAATTGATATTTGTCTTAAAATAATTTTGTTTTGGAAGAGCTAATATTGAAATGCTGAGAAAATGGGGCATACTTATGGATGGAATATTGTAGTATTTTGATTCGATTGCAACTTGTTAATGAACAACTACAACATCAATCTTTCATTTTGAACTACTGTGGTTTATTTCTACGCTAAAATTTGATTTGGGAAAATATCATTCATGGTTCATATTTTCATTGCTTGAAGTTAGCATGAGTCTGATGTTCCATGAAGAAGGTTATGATAGAAGGATATAATTTGTTTTGACCTTTCTTCTTCGAAGTGTCAACCTCATTAGCAAAATAAATTGTCAATATCTCATGCCATATCTATATCTGCATCTTAAATTTCATCATCATCCCATTGCTTATTAATCTTCCTCCAACCATCTAAGGTTGGCTTTGTGAAAATTTTTTCATTTCATTTATTCCCATTGATCTACATTTAGAGATAATTTTAGTTGATTATTTTTGGACAACATCTAGTCAAGCTAGCTTTTGTTCCACTCATTTCCTTTTACCCCACTAAGTTTTATTCTCAAACTTACTTTAATGCAGTTTCCTCACATTTAATCTCCCTTTAGTTTTTTCATAAATGTTTCCTAACATTCTCATTTATGTTGAAATCATCAACTTACTTTTTATACTTGCTATTTTCTTTGAAACTTATCTCCATATGAAGTACATTGTCCTGTGTGTATTTTCATGCAAGGTTTAAAATTATGTAATTGGTTATTGAGGTATTTTTCGTTCATGAGGCGAGGTGTTAGCCTCAAGGTGTAAACCTTAAAATCCAAAAATTGCGTAAGGTGAACATAAATGTTAAAAATGATTTTTTATAGAATACCTAAATAATATGTTAAAGGATGAAATATTAATTTTCTATTGAATAATGAAGTAACAAATTGACTTATATATGAAACAAAAAATTACAAAAGACGTAAAGTGGCAAGTGATAAATTACGTAAGAGCAAACAATATAAAATATAGGAATCCCATAAAAGTATCATATAATATTAAGTTCAATTTCAAATTCCTTTTTTTTTTTTTTCAGTTCCCAACTCATTCATTATAATTCTTAAAGAAAGCTGAAATAGTTGACAACAACTTAAAAATTATTCGCACTGTCATAACTGAAGGGTTGTTTTGTTATGGATTTAGGCTAGATTGGGGAGGGATTTTTTTAGTATTTTGTTTTTTATTGTTTTCTATAAGTAGTAAGGTTTATGTTATGTATTGTATGGAGAATTTTATTCGAGAGTTGCTGTAGTTTTCTTTTTGTAAGGGCTTTCTTGCGGCGTCTAGATTGTTTGGGAGAACAATCTACCTCTCGAATTGTAGATCGCATGTATATTATTTTTCGTATTGAAGTTATAATCCAAAATCAACCATTGATATAAGTATTTCTGTAGTTTTCCATTGTTTTTTTGCCGTTTTATCTCCAAGACGTATCATCTTTATTTGAGTCGTCGTCATAACAAATTGTTCTGCCCCCTGCCTCATCCTGTCGAGTAGGGTCGAGGCCCAAGGCTTGCAACATTTTTCACTAGAATTGCACTGAGGCGGGCCTCATGTTGAAACAATGTTCGCATGATTGATTTTTTGCCTAAATCATACGGCACAATCACTTATTTGCTACTTGTTGACCCATTTGCTGTGGTGCATTGAAGTTAAATAATTGTTAAGAAATAGGATTTAACTGTTTTTCACGAGGAAGGTCCTAGTTTAATAATCATGCATGGTTATATTCTGGTATCACAAATGCAGAGAATACTACTTAATAAAGCCAAATGATAGCATGCCCAAGATTGATGGTTTTGCTTGCCTTTTTTCCATTTAGAGAGAGAAGTTTTTATTGTAGGCTTGGGTAGAAATCTTAGTGAATGATTTTTTTTCTTATTGTCAGTTGTACAACTTTGAAGATAAAGGTGGTCGTCGTGTTGTTTTGAGGCCCGAAATCACTCCTTCATTAGCACGTCTTGTGATCAAGCAGGGGTATGCATATTCTTGTTCCTCTTCTGCAATGTTTTTCAGCATAATAAAAAATTATTAATTATTATATATCTTCATCTATAAGCAGTTTCCTTCAGTTTCAATTTTTGAAGAAATATGTATGCCTATTTTACTATTTTCTTAATTTCTGCAGGTTTGAAAAGTCTATAAATCACTTGGGCAGAATTTGATGCATCATATTTTTTCATGTATAGAAAATCTGTCTCTCTTCCTTTGAAGTGGTTCACCATTGGACAATGCTGGAGGTATGAGCGCATGACAAGAGGAAGGCGAAGGGAGCACTATCAATGGAATATGGATATAATTGGCCTCTCTAAAGTCAGGGTATGATTTGAGGAGCTGTTGCTTGTCATTATTTCTTGTATATTAGTTTCTGACAACTTGTCAATAATGGCCAATGTTTTAAAAATCATTTTTGGCTCTTTTTATGGACTAATCTCAAGGCAAGTCAAAGCAAATATGCCTTGAGATAATTGGGGGAGCAGCTGACCTATGGGGAATGTCCCTTGTGCCATGTTGGCGAGGCAAAGGCCCTAAAATCAATTTAAAATTACCAAATAATTAAATTCTATTCTGTTACGAATAACGTTTCGATTTTTTAAGTACGAATTTTAAAGGAAAACATTAATTTACCTTAATCTTTGCTCAAACTAATAAATTTAAAGCATGTATAAATAATCTGTGAGTGTATTAGAAGATTATAATAATCACTTAAATGAGGTGCATGTTGTTCCCGATTTTTAATTTGGAATACCTCAACTAGTACCTACACCAGACTTCAATACTATAAGGAGATTTGGAGGATGAGGAGCTTGAGGAAAGCAGAATCGGGGGAGTATATGGGTTGTCTTGTTTTATTTTGACATCTATTTGGTTTAATTTTATATGTTTGTGTCAATTGGACTTCAAGCTTTGAATATGAATGTAATGGTTATTGATTGAAATTTATTTTAGTTTATTTTCATGCATGTTTCGGGACTCATGCTTCATTTAATGTCAAGTGAAACGACTTGCTGTATATCTCAACCCTTTAAAGCATTGATAATGGTAACTTAACCTAAATGGTAGGTGCATGATAATTGTCACAAGATTTTCTTATTTTTTCAGAGGTTTTTAGTGTTGAAATTACCAGTGAAACTATGATACACTGATATTTCTCTTTAAAGAAGTATGCAGCATTCGACATGTATTGTACACAACACATCTCTCACATGTGTCAAACACGTCGGAGACGTGTCTGATTAAAAATAAATTAAAACACGTGTTTGACACCAGTGTCTAAATTATTTTGTGAAAAATTTTAAATATAATTTATTGCATCTAAAATTTTTATTTAGTAAAAAATAAAAACGAAATTTTTTATTTTTTATCCAAAACCCCAAATTAATTTCACACACTCAATACTCCATTCCTTGAATATATCACTTTTCATTTCGCTCTAGTAGGTTGCGGCTGAAGTTTCATAACAACGCTCGATATCATCTCAATATCGACTTCCAATGTCCTTACAACATCAATATTTCAAAACCATCTTAACATAAAAGTTTGATATCATGTAGACATTGATGCTCAATGCCAGCAATTTCTACACTCACAATCATATCTTCATGTCATTTTCAACATCTTGTCCAACATTATCTTAACAACAACGAATGACATCATCTACAGATCGACGAACGATGTTGTTTTTGACATCAATTCCCAATGACCATTACACTACTACGATGACCAACTATCTAGAGCATTGTTGTCTCCCCTCTAGATACTTAACACAACATCGACGTGTGATTCTTAACATCTTAATCTTAATCATTTTAAGCACAAATCCTAGTTAAATTGCTTATTATTTATAAAATATTCTTAATATTTTGCTTATTCAAATTTTATATACTATTTTTATGATATAAAAACTATAATACAATGTCCAACTCGGCAACTCGTGTCCTATATTTTTAATTATGAACGTGTTTGTGTCATGTTGTATTCATGTCCTTGTGTACCTGTCAGTGCTTCATAGTAGTGAATCATTTAAATATATCCTTTGAGTTTTAACTGCAGACCAACCCTCATAAGATATTACTATGTTATGATTGTTATCATAAACAAATGGATTTGGCCTAAAAAATCCAATTTGTGGCATAACATTAACATATTTTTTTTACTAATTTATAAGATTGCATATGAATTTTTTTCATTCCATTTTATATTATTACACCTAAGGTTGTGAAAATTAGACCGGACGTCGAACTGAAATAATGAAAGTTTCAATGGTTTGACTAGGGTTGAATCGGATGATGTAATAAATATTAGAATTATTTAAATAAAAAATAAAGAATATAATAATGATAGAATAATTATATAATGATATAAATTTGTGGCTAAAAAGAAATTAAGTTTATATTCAAACTTATACATTTAATATAAATGATTACTAATTTATGTTAAATTTAATGTAAATTATTATAAATTTTTATTAATTTATGTTTTATATTTAGTTAAATTTTACAAACTTAAATTATATATTAAATTTATGTTATATTTTTAATTCTATAAATCATTCATGTTATATTATTTATATTTAATAAATGGATAAAAATTAATTTTTAATGATGTATATTTTAAATAAAAATAAAACAGATAAACAATTTAATATAATTAATCAACAAAATAAATATTATTCTCATATTAAAAAAATATGTTTAAAAATATATTATGTATGTGTTTTGAAGTAGAAATTTCAAGTTTTAACTAAGTTATTTACTCCTAGATGGGAGTTTTGTTTTATTTTATTCATAATAGCTTTTCTTGTTATTATGTTTTAAGAGCCTATATGAGGTGGTGGGACCATGTGGACATGTTGTGTTTTGCTTAGATTGTAAATAATTATTATAAAAATTTAGGCTTATTGTTAAATTTAAATATGTTATATTTAAATTAGTACAACAACAACAAGCCTTTATCCCACTATGTGGGGTAGGCTACATGAATTCCATTGTGTACTTTTAAGAGCCAAATTCTCTTCTAAATCTAATAAAGAAAGGTCATTTCTAATATTTTCTAACCAGGTCTTTTTAGGTCCACCTCTACATTTTTTAGTAAAATCTAATAAATCTACTTTCTTAACCTGGTCGTCTGAAGGCCGCCGTTTTATGTGACCAAACCATCTAAGGCGACTCTCTCTAATCTTGTCTTCCACTGGAGCAACTCCAACCTTTTCATGTATATGCTCATTTCATATCCTGTCTCTAAGAATAAAGCCACTCATCCATCTGAGCATCCTCATCTTTGCAACACTTAACTTAATATTATGCTTCTCTTTTAATGACCAACATTATGCACTGTAAAGCATTGCAAGTCTCACTGCCATCTTATAGAATTTTCCCTTAAGTTTGAGAGGGACATTTCTATCACACAACAAGCCCGATGCATTCCTCTTCTTCAACCATCCAACTTGAATTCTACTAATAATATCCCCATCTATTTCACCATCACCTTGAACAATAGAACCAAGATATCCAAAACGTGTACTCTCATTAATTACTTGACTGCCTAAAGTCAGAATCCCTCATTATATTTAAATTAATTTTTAATTAAATATTTATATAAAATAAATTATTTACTTATTTAAGTAAGAGATCAATTGAACCAGTCGATTCTTAAAAACCGGGACCAGTTCAATGGTTGGCCGATTAAACTGGTGGTTCAAACCTGTTCACACTTGTTTGATGCTGAGCCGGTTTTTAAGGAAGACTGGACCGGCATATGACTGGTTCACGGTTGAACCAGTCGAACCGGCCGGTCCGGTCCGATTTTCAAAACTATGATTACACCTTCCTCCACAATAGCATGAAGTAACACCTTAAAAAGAGGAAGAAACTACCTATGGTGAACTTCTTGTAAAGATATCGTGGAATGCATTACAAAACATCTTTTGGACTTATTTTTGCATTGAAGTTTGTGCTGTTAGAAAAACAAGTCTATTAGATGATGAGGCTTGTTCTGGATCTTGGAAATCTAAATAATAATGTAGATTTTTAATATTTTGAATTATGCCTTTACATATCAAGTCTATGCCCTAAGCTTTTAGCAATTTTTTTCTCAACATTTTTATGCATCTGGTAATAAATCTCAATCTTTTCTACATTCTTCTTCATAAAAATTAAAAAGTCTCTATGAAAACATTCTGCCTGTCAAAAGGTTGAGGCGTGTGGTGAACATCACATTTACTTTCTGTGGGAGTTAGTGCGAGGGCTCTGGGTCTTTAATTTAGATAATTTAGTGTTTTCCTGGATAATAGAAATCACCTTTTCTTGTTAACTATTTTATATTGTCAAAAGACGAGTTTTGAATCTCACTTAATATGCTTTTTACTGCTATCAATATCTAATTTTATAATATACCTTAAGAGTATAGTTTGGCCCGAAAAATGTCATTTTGATGTGTTTTATGTATGTTTTTTGATTTTTTATTGTTGTTGTAGACTTAACTAACTATTGGTACAGGCAGAGGCTGAACTTATTCATGCTATTGTCCTTCTATTTGGACGACTTGGGATCACATACTCTGATGTTGGGATTAGAATTTCTAGCCGAAAGGTTTGTATGTACATATTCATTGAGCCTGAAAAAAAGTTGCTTCCATTCCAGCTATTGTTTGTTAGACACTAGGCGCTCCTATTTAATTCTTACACAATTGAACTTGAGCATTTCTAGTTCCACGTAAGATGGATTTTCTATTTTGCCAAAGGTTGCTATAACATTTGTACTTTGCATATCCACTTCCATATAAGATTGTTGTAGTTACCTGCAGACCATGTTGTCTTTTCGCTGGGTGGAAGTAGCACATTCCATTAGATCACCCTAGCTGACAAGTCGTAGTGCCTAGAGTTGAATCTTCTGAATCTAATGCCACTTCCACTTGTCGGAATAGGGTGATTTGTAGGCTGGGGAATTGATGTGGACAAAAAAGTTAGAATTTTTATTTTTTGTTGGGGTTATTTTAGCTTATTTCATTAAGTTGATTAGTAGTTTGTTATATCTTTCATCTATAAATAAAATTTTCTTAAGATATGTCAAGTAATTGATGACAACTAAAATTCATATGTTTGGTATGATGACCCTTATGTTCATGTTGGGATTTTGTTCCTTGAGGTTGTGTAAGACATAAAACCCCTATATGAGGGGAAATTATTATGTGCGGTCACCAGATGGCGTCCGAAAGTGAATCAGGATACGCCACATCATTTTTTTGCTGTGTACCGGTGCTATGTACCGTTGTGTATTGGGTGACGTGGCATATCCTGATTCACCTCCAGACGGCCCAGTGACCGCACAGAATAATTTCCCCCATATGAGAGATAATCTTGTTGTTAAAGCGCAAGGCTTTGCCACTCTAATCTTTTCTAGTTAGTTTTATCCATTTTCTCATTTTTATTTTCTTTTCAATTGTTTTCATGGCCATCTGCATCAAGTTTTTTTTTTCATCTTCAAGTGCGGGCTTTTACTACATTCCTAATCTTTTATATTTAGTTTTATCTATTCTCTCATCTTTATTATCTTTTTTGAGGTTTTTTCATTATTGTCCGCACGATGGCTTTCATCAATCTTTAATTTCTTTTATAAGAGCTTTGTTTCCTCAACCTTTGGAGGTGCTTTAATGCTCCAGAATAAATTGCCTATTCATGTCGCCAATATTTATGGGTCAAAATGATACTGAATGAATTAATTTCATTGTATGCGAATGAAAACGGTTTTTAGTCGTTCTTCTGTTCGGGATATTCACTGTTAAACTCAAAGAATTGGAGAGGAAAAGCTTACTTTATTATACAATATACTCCCTATTTATAGATTTATATAAGGTCTAATGAAGAAACAAATAACTACAAAATAATTGCTGAAATAAAATCCTTTCTACATCATATGTCCAATTATGGATGGTATTCAATATGATTCAGGCGGGCTTTCCACGGATCACTGTTCATGGTCGTGGGATTAGTCTTGCAATGGAAGGCTGAGATTTAACACAGACATTTGTCTTCACATGAATTTTGGATATTTAAAGTTTTTTAAGGGATTTAAGTTTCCTCCTAGTGGGATTATTACTTACATAAATTTGAATTTTTCTGTACAGATTTTTTGTTTTTATAATTTTCTCCTTGTTTTCTGACAAATGTAAGTTAGTAGACAATGGCGTGATACCAAAATATGCTGCATCACTATTCTTCATTTCATTGATTTGCTGCACTTTGATCAAGGCACTGCAATAGCCACACATCTAAAATTCTAAATCTATTTCGCAATCTCATTACTATTCTTTTTAACAGGTTCTTCAGGCAGTGCTGCAACTGCATTCTATACCAGAACATTTGTTTGCAGAAGTTTGTGTTATTGTTGATAAGGTTGTCTTCCTTCAAATAATAAAACTAAGAACTTTTGCTTTTACATCTTGCTGTTAGAGGTTATATATATGTGTTCTATCTGGGGCAATCCGAGGTGTCATTTCAATATCAGGCCTTGTCCGAACTTGATTGCCGTCCATATTTTTATTCCACTTTTCTTAATGCATTATTGCATTTCATTAATTTCTCAGCACTACCATTTTTCGCTCTTATTGCAATCTTTATTTTACTACTTTGATATTTCTTTATTTGAAATCATGTGGCAGCCTTTCTAAGAAAGAATGAGAAGGGAATGATGCATTAAAGTAAGAGATAAAAACAGAGTAGATAAAGCTTGATATTCCCGGGTTATCACTGAATCTGCATGTCATCCATTTTTGATTGGCGTGGCATCAGCAGTGACAAAAAATTGTTTCCGCACCTTAATCTCAAGGCATACCATGACAAATTTAACTTATTTGCTGGAAATCCTTTAGATGTGATGAATTTTCTTTTATGAACAATGGCAAGATGTGGTTTGGCTTGCATTAAGGTAGATGGTTTATTGCATTATTCAATTTAAGGAAACCCTGTATTAGTGTTTGTGTTTATAGTTCCATGATGTTCAATGTAAAGATCTCTTGTCCTTTTCTTTTAACTAAAGATTTCTATCCTGATTTGAATAATACAATTAGCTCAGAGCCATCAAATCCTGTCTTGAGTTGTCCAATGTCAGACCACTGGACAATGCACTTATTCTGTGAGCAAAATTGCCCTTATAACGGGTTACTTGCAGAGCTGTTATTTCTTGGTCATTTTTCTCCTTCCTCATTTGCAACTGCTTGATTACCTTCACTTGGTTGTTTCTAAGTTTAGCATACTGCAGCTTGCTACAACCTGTCATCCTTTTCTACAATGAAGAAGAGGTCTCTAGTTGATCTTTTTGGATTTCTTTAGTGAGAGGTGGAGGAATATAACGGCTATGCATTTCATACTTGAGATATGTTCTCTTATCCTTTCTGGAGTAATTTCAACCTTCAGTATATCTCATCTAATTGTGTTCAAACACAAGGTGGTTTGACGTAGTATTTTCCTATTTCACTCGGATTACATCAAGGATCTGCCTTAAGCCCATATTTTTTTGCTTTAGTCATGGATTTTCTCACTAGACATTTGCAAGAGGTTGTACCTTGGTGTATGCTTTTTGCTGATGATATTCTTCTTATTGATAATAATAGAGTTGAAGGTAAACTTGAATTATGGAGGTCAACTTTAGATTCTAAAGGCTTTCATTTGAGTAGATCTAAAAGTTAATATATGGAGTGCAATTTTAGTAATAATAGATCTAGTGGGAGGTTCAAACTTTGGGCGATTAAATCATTAATAAGAGTTCACATTTTAGATATCTTGGGTATATTGTTTAGAATGATGATGAAATAGATGGGGATATTATTAGTAGAATTCAAGTTGGATGGTTGAAGTGGAGGAATGTATCGAGTTTGTTGTGTGATAGAAAAGTGCCCTCAAACTTAAGGGAAAACTTTATAAGATGGTAGTGAGACTTGCAATGCTTTATGGTGCAGAATGTTAGCCATTAAAAGAGAAGCATACTATTATGTTTAAGTGTTACAGAGATTAGGATGCTCAGGTGGATGAGTGGGTTCGCTCTTAGAGACAGGATATGAAATAAGCATATACGTGAAAAGGTTGGAGTAGCCCCAGTGGAACATAAGAGACAACCACCTTAGATGGTTTGGTCACATAAAATGACCGCCTTCCGATGACCCGGTTAAGAAAGTAGATGTATTAGATTTGATTTATGTTAAGAAAGATAGAGTTAGATCTAAAAGGACTTTATTAGAAAATATTAGAAATGACCTTTCTTTGTTATATTTAAACGAGAATTTGACTCTTAACAGGACATAATGAAGAACAATGATTCATGTAGCCGACCCCACATAGTGGGATAAAAGCTTAATGTAGTTGTTGTAGTATATCTCATTTGAGGAAACAAGTTTATACCTTATGATTAAAAAAGAGTGTAAATAACAAAATTTGTGACTTGTAATTATTTTATTACAACAAGGAAACTTTTTTTTTTTTCCAAACAATATAACTAATCAGCTATGGCTTTGTGGCATAAACCCTGCCTTTAAACTTCAGACTCTTTGAAGTACATGAGAAAAAAAAGCCTGGTGATGAGGCACTATTCATCAATAGGTGCAGTTTTAGTTCATTCGTATGGTGATAGAAAACCACTAGCATCTGCATGGAATGCTTAAGATAAATTCATAAAGCTTCTATCTTAAAATTAACGTTTATACTCATGAAATTAATAAGAATAATTCATAAACTTCAAAGCCAACTAGCCAAGTGAATGCTGTCCACTTGCAAGTTACTTGAGATATCCATTTGAACTTTTGCAGCTTCTCCATTATTTGTATCCGCTCCTGTTGCTACGTTCAGAGGAATTGGCATCCTAACTTTTAAACTACTTTGTTCTACAGACCAATAGCAGACACTGACTTCTTTCATTATTATGAGCTGCAGACGTAGGGTTATAGAAAACCACTAGCATCTGCATGGAATGCTTAAGATAAATTCTAAAGCTTCTATCTTAAAATTAACGTTTATACTCGTGAAATTAATAAAGAATAATTCATAAACTTCAAAGCCAACTAGCCAAGTGAATGCTGTCCACTTGCAAGTTACTTGAGATATCCATTTGAACTTTTGCAGCTTCTCTATTATTTGTATCCGCTCCTGTTGCTACGTTCAGAGGAATTGGCATCCTTACTTTTAAACTACTTTGGTCTACAGACCAATAGCAGACATTGACTTGTTTCATTATTATATGAGCTGCAGATGGGAAAAGTTTCTAGAGATGTGATTGAGAATGAACTGATGACAGCAGGGGTTTCCATTGAGGCTGTTAAAGGAATAATTGAAGTTTTGTCTCTAAAATCATTGTCAAAACTTGAAGGTTCGTATTGTTATTATCTCCACGAGCCTGTATTGATTGATACGTTATGTATTTGAGTTTTTGGTAGGTGCATGGAAAAATATTTTAATGATTTTTTTTTTCATTCCAGCACTCTCAACCCCGCAAAAAAAAAAAAAAGGAATAAAACAAGAAATAACATGAATTTGTGACATTGGTCTTTTATCTCTTTTCTGCTTGTTAGGATAAAAGATAATGAAATGGCAAGCTCTAATAATATCACATTATTCATGCTTAGAGGTTCTTGGATCGGAAGATGAAGCTGTTACTGATCTGAAGAGTTTATTTTTACTTGCTGAACATTATGGCTATATTCAGTGGATAAACTTTGATGCATCTGTTGTGCGAGGACTTGCCTATTACACTGGAATAGTCTTTGAGGTATTCTTTGGCCTTTCTTTTCCAATTCTAAGTTTTGAATAAATGAGATATTGCCCGTCCATCAACAGGATTATTTTTTGATGTGTAATATGATGCAAGATATTAGTTATGGTCGTTTTTGCCAGGTTCTTACGAAAGGGTTTTTTGTTGTGTGTACACATGACACTGGTAGTACAGTCCCACTCTTTTAAAACTTAACAATCTATGTAGAATTATCTTATATGCTAGAATTTTGAAATGTGGGAAAGGAACATCTCTCTCTCTCACTCACTCAGTTTGTTATGGGAGAAAAAGCACTAAAGTGGAAGGCAGTTTAAAGGTCTAAAGGAGGAAGAAGCTGATGAAATGGATATTGTAAGGATTCCCAATTGTTTGAAGAGCTTGCTATAGCAACAGGAAAAATGGGTACAGAAGGTAGCTGGTGACTCACTCACGAGGTGAACCGCCATGAAAATAACATCTTAGCCAACATGCTCTATTTTTTATCATTTGTTATTAATATTTTGGTGCTTATTAGGAAGGTTTTTCATGTTTTTATTTTTTGTTTGATAGATTATTTAAGAATTTTTTTGGACAAAGTCCATGGTAGCTTTTAGTGCTTGTTATGGCGATGATAATGGTTTAGGGGTGTAAACGAGTTGAGTCGAGCTCGAGTCACAACAAACTCAAGCTTGGCTCATCGGTTAAAAAATTGGCTCGAGCATGAGCTTGAGCTCAAGTTTAGCAATGTACTCGACTTGGCTCGTCCTTTAACTCCCAGGCTTGAGAGCTCAACTTGAGCTTGGTGGGAGCTCACTTGAGAAGCATGATGGGCAAGTGGGAGCCCGGGATAAGTATTTATGAGCTCAGCATCAAGATATACAACATCTCTTTATTTGGAGAAGAAACTGCCGTCGGAGAAGGAATGCTCTTTAGAAGAAACAACAGCCTTTTTAAAAAATAATAATAAAGTGCAAATTTTTTTGGGAAAGTAAACAGTATATGCATTAATTGCATTAAATGCAATCCTATCAGTTTTTGCAGTTTTTTTAGATGCATATAACTTATAAAAGATGCTAAGTCTACCCCTAAATATTATAAATTACTAAAATAGCAAGTTTTTGTGCCCTTAAATATCTACCTAATTGAATGAGCTTTTGCAAGCTTATGAGTCAAGTCTCATCAAACTCGAACTCATTTAATATGGGAGCTCAAGCTCGAGGCTTGATGAGCATAACTTGCATACTCATTAACGAGTCGAGTTAAAATATCCTCAGCTCATTTTCACCTCTGTAATGGATGCTTTTGTGCGTGCGTGAGGCTTCTTGTACGGTGGATGTTATTTAGACATATTTTTTATATCTGCTATCAATCTTTATGGATGCTAATGTGGAGGCACAAGGCTTCTTGTGCTGTGGATGTTATTCAAACAGAGATTTGTACAGATCTACCATCTATCTTTTAAAAAAAGTTACTTTTTTGGGAATTTTTTTTGCTCTTGCTCTTTTTTCCTCACCATTACACAGATTTCAGTCAAGCTTGAGTTGGGTTTACTTCTTAGACAATTTGTAGTTTTTGTTCATGTTAATTTTAATCCTGTTATAAGAGAGAGAGAATTTACATAGGTCTACATCTTTATTGAATATTACTATATTTTCTCTGTTTACCTTTATTTTCAACAACATGGATTTTAACGTATGTTGATTTGCTTCTTTTGTGCATGGACAGTAGAGATCCTTAGGGTTTGCCCACATTCATTGTGTTGCATTTACATTTTCCTTGGAGTTTTGTGCTTTATACTTGATTTTTTGACGAGAGTTCATTTGTTATTCTTCTCAGAAATAAAAAAAAAAACTGTCTCCCTCATCTCGCATCTCTACAAACATTTGGCTTTTGACCATTGGAGTAACCGTTGATGCAAACTGCTTTTGCTGCCTCACAATTGATATTGGGAATGCTATAATTTTGGCCTTCTTTCTCTCCATATATTTCTTAGATTGCATCATTGCAACAATCTATTTGCTGTTCTCACCCAACAAATAGTACTGCTTGATTGCTCAGCCTTGACAAGAATACCCCACCAATTGTAAGGAGAATGCTGTTCCATGCCAGTTTTCTGATTCACCATATCGTTGAGTGTCGACCTCCTAAGTTTCACCTTTGTTGGCTTACCTTTACCATGCTAACTTTGCAGCTGGTGTGATTTCAAGGCATATTCTCAATCTTTTCTCTCTACCGCATTGAATCTATTTTGTTACTGTTGCAGATACTCATTGCTTTCTCACTAGCTTGTCATGTCCTAGTGGTGCATCTATGGTGAATTGTGATTATAATTGCGTGGATGTCCATTGAGGAGCCCGATTCATAGTGATTACCACTTCCCTCGCCATTATTGCTTACTTACAAATGCTAAGCAGTTGCTCTCTTTTTTACTTTCACGTGAGTCTTATATGACAAAGAAGTATATGCAATAATGCAAGGTGTAATATTGATCCCCAACCAGCTTGGGCATCCAAAGTTGATTTAACCCTACTGAAACAATTTCATAATTAGACTTTCAGTTGACTAAATTTGAGCTGATTCGAAGTCTACCATAAATCGGGCTAGTGTTTATTCAATTTGGAAGCATTTTATTTTCAAGTTTATAAGGTGAATTCGTCAACTTGAGATCTATCTTTTCTTGATTGGAAATTTTTATTTGATTTTCATGTCAGTTGACAATTTTTATTTTGATTGTAGATGGATTACTTCCTTACTCTTTTTCCGAAGAAATTTATTCCTATCATTTGATGAATTTGTTCCTTGGCTCTTCAATTTTTTTCATGAATTTTTCTAATCATTAAATTTAGACAATTTTGCAATCTGTACGAGCAAAAAAGAAATTTAAGATATGTGGAAAATCTGAATCAACTCAAAGGTTAGGGCAGCTGTACCGTTCGCAGTTGGATAGTTTGGAGGCTAGTATGCATCTGCAACTTAAGATTTATAGAGCACAGTTGTGTTCAAGCTATTGTGCATCTGCGAATTTTTTTTCTCCACAATGTAGTGGTTCAGAAATCTTGCAAACCTGGAGTTAATGTATCAAAATTGTTGAGCTTCTAGATTTCATGAGCTTATAGGAATGTTGCCAAATGATGATAGCATGTTTCTTTGAATCTGGACCGCATTTCCATCTGTGGGTGGCCTCTGTTAATCAGATACCTTGCGGCCTTTTCTTTGTTTTTTTTATTTTATTTTAATCATCGTTGGATATTTTTAAAGCTACTGGGAACTTTCCAGCTTATGTGGAAGATTGTATACTTGTCTTGTTATTTTCATTACATGTTGTTGTCCTTGAAAAAATTTTGATGTTTTCAATCCTCAGGCATTTGATAGGGAAGGAAAGCTACGGGCTATTTGCGGTGGTGGAAGATATGACCGTTTGTTTTCTACCTTTGGTAGTGATGACATTCCAGCATGTGGATTTGGTTTCGGTGATGCTGTTATCGTTGAAGTAAGAACTCCTTAGTTTCGCTGGTTCAAGTTGAAATGATTATTAGATTGATGAATTTGCTGAATCACCATAATTTTCTTGACATTCACTTGGAGAAGAATCGCCAGTGACATTTTATTTTCGCTTAGATATGATGATTTTAAATTGTTTTTTTTTCTCATTACAAGCATCATTTGAGTTTTGGCAGTTGCTGAAGGAAAAGGGTCTTCTACCTGATCTTAATCGGCAAGTAGATGACATTGTTTTTCTGCTGGATGAGGAGCTTGAAGGACCTGCTTTAAAAATTGTTTCTTCACTTAGACAGACAGGGCGAAGTGTCGATCTTATACAAGATAAACGGCTTAAATGGTGCATCTAAGACCCTCTCCACGCCCTCCTATTCGAGTTCAGTTTTGCATTTTTGAGTACTATCAGAGCAAGTTAGCTGGTTGAACTTCATTTCCATTAATTTGTCTAATACTTTTCTTTATCCTAAAATTTCTTTTTAATACTATAGTACATTGGATAAAAATCCTTTTGGGACTACTTGTTAAAATTCTCTGATGATGGTTAGAAAGGTTTCTTGCTGACCACTTTTTCTTTGAAAATAGAGTCGTACAATAATAAGTCTCTTCCATAATTTAAACTTATTTTCTTGTGAAAAAGCAGATAATCTGTGAATTTTTTATGTCAAGACTAATTTTATTTACATCATTAAGGTTTCGTTTGGGTTGACTTTCTTATTACTTTTTAAAGCAGCTTTTTAGTACGAAATTAAAATTTTTATACTAAAAAGATGCTTTAAGATGCAGTATAAAAGCTATCCCAAATGAAGCCTAAGTCTATTAACTCATAAACCAATTTATTCTTGCATCCGACCACAATTTTCAATCTATATACAGACTGCATCACACAATATCATTTTTTTTTATTTTGAGATATTCCCCATTGAATTAATATGGGGAATTCATTGCAGGATTTTTGTTCAGCACTTCTGCGCTAACTGTCTGTAATATATTCAGGGTTTTCAAGCATGCTGAAAGAATCAATGCTGAGAGGCTTATCCTAGTGGGCAATTCAGAGTGGCAGAGAGGTTTGGTTCGTGTGAAGATTCTAGCAACTAGAGATGAGTTTGAAGTTAAGATGGATGAGCTAACAGCTCCTTCATAATTTGTTGTCATTGTATTATTCCTTTCTGACTGTTCTAGTTCTTTGAAATTATTTAGCTAGAAATAAGAGATATGAAGATATTTAACTTTTTCATTGGAATTATTCCATCTCGTCTTGATTGGCTTCATCAAATTATGGCTTAGACTTTGGCTTCATTTGGGACGGTTTTCTTTCTAGTACAAAAATTTTAAATTTTTTTTTTACTAAAAAGCTGCTTAAAAAAGCAATAAAAAAGCCGTCCCAAACGAAGCCTTTGTCCCTGTATTTTTTATCTCAAAAATTCCTTTTAATGCTTCTCTCTCTTGAGAGGTTTATATTTCTCTTTCGTTGAACTTCTGTCTTTCTTTTTCTATTCAAGATGATCAGCTGCTTTGGTTCAAGGTTTACGCCACTGCTATGATCAATATATCATTTTTTTTTGGGTTTCTGCTTCAGATAGTTTCTTTAGCGTTCATTTACGAAGGCTGTGGAAGCAGTCTTCACTAAATTCCAGTTTATTTCTGTGCAAGTAGTTAGAATGTAGCGCTCTCAACTGCATTGGCTCAATTTCTCAACGGAAGATTGGAAGGCCGAGTAGGGTATGTTGAGTTCTTTCCAAATATTAGGTTGATATCACCCTACTTTATACAGTGTGAGGTCGTGGGTTACAAAAGAATAATTTTCTTTTAAGAAAATGTCCAGTCCTGATTTTTTTAGGCCTAGTTTTAGCAGTGCCTGTTGCATTTAAAGACTGATTTTAGAAAAGCAGATTGCTGGACCGTTTTGATATGGTTTTGTTTGAATTGGGGTTATCTTGTAATTTTAAGTGTCTGTGTTACCAAAGAGAAAAATTATTTTATGCGGAGACCAGATGACGAAAACCGTCCGGATTTGCTACCTTTTAGCTTGCCTTAAACTGCACTTTTGCAAATAATTAACAAAAGGTAGCAAATATACATTTATAAATGCATTTTTGCTGCCCTTTTGCTGAAAATGACAGTAAAAGGATTGCAAATATTCACTTTGTAATGATATATCATCAAAAAATTATCTTGATCGGGCATGAATCTCGAGGCAAATTTAAGCTGGAAACTTCCAAAATTAAAATTAGGACCATCCGAATTTCAATTTCAGCAAACTTACAATTGAACTAAACATCTCAGAAAAACGAACCCAAAGACACCAAGTTCGACTCAATGCGAGCCCAAATGGGTCCAAATCAAGGGTTTGAAGTGCCGTTAGAAGGTTCGAACCACAATTTGGATCCCCCAAATGGTTTCCAAACATGACATGCTTATAGTCGAATTGAGTGGCTCAATGAGTTGAATCCAACGAGCCCAAGATCACCAAATTATGACATTAGTATGGCATTCAAATGTCCATCAAACGGTCCTTGATCAAGGGATTTAACATCGGTTGTCTATCCAACCACTCTCCATTTATCCTTGATATCTCACCTTTTTACGGACCATAGCACTCTAGAAATTTATAAATATACCGATCTTTTCTCTTGAAAAGGAGGCTCCAAGCAAGAGAACAAGAGAGAGATCGAAGATTGCTATTGCCTCCTCGCTCCTCCTCGACCATCTGTTAGACCACCGCCTGACTTTGTTGCTATGCTAGACCACCACTTGAGGCCCTCATCTCCTCCGGACCACCGCCAGATGTCGTTGCTTTGCCGGACCATCACTTAAGGCCCCCACTTCCATCGGACCACTACTTGAGGCTCAAACTTCTACTGTACCAGCACCAAACTCCCCGACTTCCGCCGGACCAGCACCTCACGCCCGGACTTCTGACAGAACACCACCTAAGGTCCGAAATTTTGCCGGACTTACACCTAAGGCCCGGGCTTCTGTCGGATCACCACCTGAGGCCCGAATTTCCGCCGGACCACTATCTGAGGCCCGCCCTTCTGCCGGACCATCACCTGAGGCCCGGACTTCTGTCGCCTAGAGTTCTACCATAGTACCGCCTTACTACAACGGTCTTTCTGACCTCGATCTCATGCATAATACGGTCCTTCTGACCTATATTGCCGGACAATGGTCTTTCTGTCTCCGGTCACCTGCCTACTACTGTCTTTCCGACCTTTATCCTATCAACTATGGTCTTACCGAGCAAACAAACATGTCTATGTTGATTATTGTAACTTTAATCATGTAATGCGCTCTATATGATGTACATTTGTGACATTAAGCCAAGGCCTTCTCCCTAATAAACGTCTTATTTGTAATCGGACTGTAAATACTAATGGATTCATTCAAACTGGACAAGGCGCCGTGGTTTTTCCCCTTTTTCAGGGGTTCCACATAAAAACTTTGGTATCTCTTATGAACGCTATACTCTCTCTCTTATCTGCTTGTGTGCTGGATCTTTGTATAATGCTAAGACATTAAACTATATATTTCTCTACCGCCGCGAATATTCCAGAGAGCAACAAGTAGGATATATGCTACACTTTAGCTGGGATTTTGCAATGACTCAACAAAAGGCAGCAAAATTGCAATTATGAATGCATTTTTGATGCTCTTTTGTTGAGTATTTGTAAAAGCACAACAAAATGACAGTTAAAGTGTAGCAAATCTGAATGGTTCTCACATCCGGTCTCTGCACAGAATAATTTCTCTTCCAAAGAAGAGAAGATACAAGCAGCATCAAGGAAACTGGGCTAACCAGTTTGGTCCCATCCAACCAAGCTCTACAAACTAATTTAGTTCATGCGCCAGACTGCTCTCATCTCGTCAATTCCAACATTCTTAGTTTTCAATCAGTGAATACAAGTAAAACTAAGCAACGATCTTAGTCTTCTTATTCTTCCGAGCTGATCATCAGGTAAAACTTGTTACAGCACTAATACTTACAAAGCTTTGATAACATCTGCAACTGTTTAAACATTACAAAATAGTATTTTGCAGCGATTTTAAACACAAAATTTCAGTGATTTTGACTGTCTTTTGCCACTAATTCAAGCAAGCAGCTCAACTGCTGTAATGTATAAGACCGCCGACGACGAAGGTTGTTATTAGCTCGCCGAACTACAGCAACCTCCCACTCTCAGCTCTCGCCTAGGTGTCGCCCATCTGTGGCTTCCTTCTTCTTTCTTCTACCATTTGTCACGAAAGAACAGCAAAACGAACTGCGAAAGTTCGTCGTCAGAACCTGAAGCCTTTGTTTATCGAAAGGAACCGCGTAGGACACCACGAAAGTAAACGTCAATGCAACACGTATCTAACGATACTTTACCTTCAACGCATAATCGCGTGACGGTAAGTAAATAAAACCTTCTAATATTTCTTAATATTAAAATTAAATGATTTGTGCATTAAATTTAATAATAATAAACTTTAATCTTCTATGTAATTCCTCCTATTAATTTATATCCCATCATTTTACATAATTTAATATATGGCTGTAAGGGGATAATCACCTAAACTTTATGTAAATCCTAAACTTTAATTCCTCTTTAATGCACATGCCATAAATCCCTCAAAAAAAAAAAAAAGCCATAAATCCCTCAAAAACTTTAATATATATAGTTTAGATTATTTTATATAATTAAATATAATATAATATAATTTTAAAATTTATATGAATTCACTCACCAAACAAAATTAAAAAATATTATCCTATTTAGCTCGCTGAAAAGGACTTAGGACAGCCTAATATTCCACCCTCGATCTCTCAACATTCTCAGAAGCACAGACCGACAAACCCTAAAGGATCTAAGCATGGCCGAGCAGCAGAAGATCCATCCCGTCGACCTCGAAGCCGCCAATGCCCCCAAAGCCACCACACCCCTCGTTCCCCCCGGCGCTACCCGCTCCGACAACTTCAACCCCGCGGCGCCACCGCCCCGCCGCTCCATTCCCGTGTCACATAGCCTCCCGCCCAAAAAACGCGGCAACTGCTTCTGCCGCTGTCTCTGTTGCTCTCTCCTCACCCTCATCATCATCATCATCGCCATCGCCGCGGCCGCCGGCATCCTCTACCTCATATTCCGGCCCAAATTACCTTCCTACTCCGTTGACCGCCTCCGCATCACCGCTTTTTCCATCGATCCTAACTTCGCCGCGCGGGCTACCTTCGATCTTACTGTAACCGCTAACAACCCTAACAAGAAGATTGGGATCTATTACGAGGATGGAAGCCATCTAAGCGTTTTGTACGATGATACGACTTTGTGTACGGGGAGTTTTCCGGTGTTCTATCAGGGGCACAGGAACAAGACGACGGTGACTACGGTGCTCGATGGACAGGCGCAATTGGGGAGTCAGCTTTTCTCGGCTTTGCAGCAGCAGCAGCAAACGGGGAGTGTTCCGTTGAGGTTCAAGGGGGATGTGCCGGTGAAGCTGAAGCTTGGAGGGTTGAAATTGTGGAAGGTGACGGCGAGGGTGAGGTGTGATCTTGTTGTTAATAGTTTGACTGCTGGTAATTTGATTAGTCTTAAGACCAGTAACTGTAAGTTCAGGTTGAAGCTCTGATTTTTATTTTTGATTTTTTTTTGTTTTGTTTTTGGTTTTAACGTGTTTATTGAGAGGAGGAGGTTGATAATTTGATATTCTTAGGAAGATGGATTGGACTTTTGCTTTATTTGTATCGATTTCTATACAGGATTATATATACTGTGCTGAATAAAGAATTCCTTATTGATTGATAGTTGATGGTGATGTTCTGACCAACATGAACTTTGAAGCTTGAATTGGTCTATGGAGTGCAAAATTGGGAACTGATAAGGAAAAATTAGGTTTTGTTTCAGTCCATGGTTGTGATAAAATTAGTAAAAAAATGCTGACCTAGGTAGAGCTGAGGGACGTCAATTGTCCATCAAAAAAATTTTTTTTTCTATTGGGTGGCTAAGATTCTCATCCCTCTCCTTTGCAGCAGGATGAAGCAAAAATTAACCCTTTATTCAACCAACTCATGGGAGTAAAAAATAGCTAAAACATAAAGAAGATCCAGTAAAATATAGAGACATAATGAAGTTATACCTTCTATGTATTTTTAGACATCTTTTAGTTTCTCAAACTGAATTATATCTTCTAACATGCTTGTCTTGATTTTCAATCAAGAGATTAGATTCAAAGTTTGTATGTGTGATGGATATGTGATTTTAACTTAATTAACTCAAAAGTTATATATATATAGAGAGGGAGAGAGAACTTTTCTTTCTCCTCTCTCTTTTTCCCTCTTTAAATTTCTTTCTAGCTAAACTATCAAGTGATACTGTTTATAGCCTAGCATTGTAGTGCTTACTGGATCAGCATCAAAGCGCTCTACTTTAAAATATCATATTTTTCAAGAAAATTTATTTCACGTATTTTGTACATAAAGAAATCTTGACACTTTCTTTTATTATCTTGATATGTTAGTTGAGAATTTTGACTACAATTAAGATCTTAAATTTGAAGCTTTATGTGAGAGTTGTCCTAATTAGCTTAAATGTTTCCAAAAATATAATGAATCACGGCCCCACAAAATAAGTTTTTAGTGGTACTAGTCTGAAACCTGCAAGTTGGTCAAGAATTCCAGCTTTTGCAGCTGGAAAAATTGGGCGTTAGGAACATTAAAAGTCAGTGGCAGTAAAGACTACGTTACCATGGATTACATCAGCAAACTTGGTCTAGGTTCTTCATTCTAGTGATTTACCATCTTGTAAATTCTTAACAATATATGATTGGATAAACCAAAATGATAACAAATTTTTATTTTGCAAAAATCTATAAAGTAGTTTTAGAAATATTTGTACTAAAAAATTATTTTAAGTAGTAGTAAGAAAGTCATCGCAAATAAAGCCAAAATCTAAAATCTAATGCACGGTAAACATCACGGAAGTTAGAAGAAGGCGAACAAAAGTAAACACCGTCATCATCGTTTATGCAAACAAATTTCAAAACGGTCTTTATGATGTTACTTAAGTTTATTGTGATCAAAATTTGGGTGGTCCCAAATTTAGTTTTGAAAGTTCTCAATTCAAATATGTTTCGAGATTCATGCCTAATCAATGTGATTTTAGGTGACGAATCATTTGCCTCGTAATTTTTGGACGTCGAAGTTTGTGGAGTCCAAAAATATATTTCTAATCTTCCAAAATGTTGTTATGTAGAGTTATAGTTCTAGGACCGCTCCCCTCAGGACCGTGAACCAAGTAAAACATCCGTAGTTATAATTCAAGCTTTACAGAAAGTTGATGCGTCATTCGGATAAAAAAATATTGTTATACTCGAAAATATTTGAAGTTGTTTAAAAATAACTGTGAATGTTCCTTTGGCCTTTGAAAGCGTTGAATTTAAACCCAAAACTTCAGGCTCATCATGCTCGAAATTATACCCGAATTAAGCTGGGTCGGTTGGGCTTACCTGCTAGCTGGTTACTGCCGCCGTCAACAACGCCAACAACCTGCCCACAATTTAGCTTGAGAAGTTGCCACAGGCACCGTTAATCATCATTATTATTATTATCATTATTTTAGAAATATTTTTTTCTATCTTTTTTTGGCCATATAACTCCTCCAATATGTCATATAACTCCCTTATATTAATTCATGCAACTCTTTTCCATTATGTCCCTTATATTAATTCATGCAACTCTTTTCCATTATGTTATATAAGTCTCTTATTTTCCATTATGTTATATAAGTCTCTTATTTAATGCCTCATAATTATCTCATTTTAAGTTATGAAACCCTTATCCACCCCCCTCCCCCCCTCTTCAAGTTTAAAGACCCTTTATGGGATGAGGATTTTGCACTTCTCCTCTCTAATTTTCTCTTGCTCTTATTCTCTTTCTTTTCTGTTCTTATTCTCACATTAGACGTATTCCACTATCTTGAATAAGCAATATTCCATATCGAGCTCCATTGTCCCTATTTGTGTAGAAGAATTTGCTATTGCTCCCATTTTCTTTTTCATATATTCTTCTTCTTACTCCACTATCTTGAATAGATGGCATCCCCTATCAAGCTCTAGTGTGTCTCTTTGTGTAGAATAATATGTTCTTGAAACATTTTCTTCATCTTCTCTTCATCTTTCATTCAAGACATTTCATTTTCTTGGATTGGCAATATCCCCTATTAAGCTCTAATACCCCTCTTTATATAGGAGTAATTATTGTCTTTCTTCTCCTTGTATCCTCTACTTCTTCTTACATTATTGACATTCAACTATCTTGGATAGACAATATTTTCTACCAAGCTTCAGTGTCACTCCTTTTGTAGGAGTGTCTTGCCTTTCTTCTCCTATCATCTACTTATTCTTATATTAAAGGTATTTCATTATCTTGGATATGTGGTATCCCCTATCAAGCTTCAGTGTCCCTTTTTATGTAGGAGTGTTTGTTATCTTTTTTCTTCTTCTATCTTTTAGTTCTTCTTATATTAGAGACATTTCACTATCTTGGATAGGCGGTATCCCCTATCAAGCTCCATTGCCTCTCTTTGTATAGAAGAAGTTGTTCTCCATACATAGCTGTAAGGAATACACAAGATTTCTTGATGAAAGGGCTTTTATCTTTATCTTGAAGAATGTCGACTATCTTTATTTTGAGAAACTTTTTATCGCATTTTGAAGCTTCAATTCTTCACTCGATAAAGAGGTCATCATTGCAAATTATTATAATGCTGGTTGTATAAATAACGTTGTGTGCTAGAAAATTTGAGTCAGTAGAGTGCATGTTTTATGCTTAGCATTGTATAAAGATTCAACACAAACAAATAAAAGTAGTAGGATCATATATTTTTTACGTGAAAATTTTGGAAAGGGAAAAAAACCACGGTACCTAACCAGTTGCAAAATTCACTAGATAGTAAGTGATACAAAGATCTTCCATTCTTCATTGTTGGAGAAAAGGGAGAGTACAAAAAATCAAGTATGCCAGTTAATACCCAACAATAAAGTCTGATTTCTCCAATATGAATTATGTATGTCCACATATAGACTTTTATACCCAACAATTGGGGTTGATTTTTCCAATAGAGATTATAGACATCCACAGATAGACTTTTAGACCCAAAAATAGGATTAAATCTTGTTTATACTCTAGAGTTGATAGAGATTTCTGATGTTGATCCTCAATGACGATGGTGGTTGTCGACGGCGATGGTTGAAAAATGTAATAGAGTTCTTTCTAATTCTCTCTCTCCTCCTCCTCCTCTTCATGTGAAGAATTATGACTTATTTATAGGTTTTTGGGAGTGGCATGCTCCGTAAATATGTATAAAGTCTATGATAAATTAGGAGTGCTCCATCTGATTGTCAATATTGAATCCTTTGATCATAAAGCTTTTATCAAGAAATTAAGTACCATAATGATGTCAGAATTAAATGATCTTGGGCTCATTAGAGTCATCTCGTCGAGTTACTCGATTCGATTATAAGTATGTCATATTTGGAGATCATTTAGTTACTCATTGAATGCATTAAAACTTTCAAGTATGCTTCAACCCCTTGATTCGAGCACATTTGAACTTAGATTAGGCCGATTTTATTGTAATTGGGTGTGTCTTGTCAAGTAATTTAGTTCAACGGTAAGTTTATTGTTATCAAAATTTGGATGATACCAAATTTAAATTTGAAAGTTTCCAATTCAAATATGCTTTGAGATTCATGCTTGATCAAAGTAATTTTTTGGCGACGTATCAAATATAATTAAATTCAATCATAATAAATTTAGCAAATTCTTTGTTTGATGCTTAATAGCCCCCATCAAGAAGTTCAAAATTTTCATTGTAAACTGACGGCACCTTCTTGCATGTGTGTGTATATATATATATATAACAAGAGAGTTCGATTTTAAAATATTGTTATTTTTTAAAGATATAATGATTAAAATTAAAGAAAATCCTCTCAATTAAGATTTTTTAGATGGATAATTTATTATTTCTTTATTTTTAAATCTCAAAGATAAAAAATTGAAGCATAATGAACTTTTGCTTAGTCCCACATGTTACAAAAGTAAAGGTAACTTTTGTTTATAAAAAACTAAGCACAATGCCCATTGTTGGATATGGTACTTTTTGCTATGTTATACCAATGCATAATTTGGGCTAACCTCATGAGTGGTTTCGCCCTCCTTCTAGCACAAAATTATCTAAAAAGTTAAGAAAGCTTTCTCAAACAAAATCTTAATCTCATCCAAAATATTTAGGTTTTGCTTAGCCCAAAAAAACCCTTATTCTCCATTTTTAGTGCTAAATGCTACAACATATTATATGCACTTTTATTTTACATAAATTTGATCCATGTTGCATTCTTCAACCCATTTTTTACCATAATATTTTAATAATAATTTTATATGAAGATTATTTTTTATCATTTATTATACATGTCAAAATTTGTAAGTTCATTTTTGTTATCTTAATCTCTAATGTAATGATAATGTCTTCTTTTATTGTTATTGATTTGTTTTAATACTATATATGAGGTCTTTGAGCTATATAGAGGATTCATAAAAATTACTAAATTAGCATATTGTTTCATAGCACTAATTATTGAAATTTAAATTTGAGATATCCATTTTATTCAATCATTAATGTGACGTTATTTTAAATATACTTCTAATTAATAAATATATACTATTGTTAGGAAGAGAAATGTAATTGGGCAAATATTATTTATTTATTTATTTATTTATTTGGAGGAATATGAATAAAGATTTATTTGGAACAAAATTATCCTAATAGAGGGCCTTTTATAGTCATGGATTGTTTATTGAAATTAATTTAAATTGCAAATTTGATTCGAAATAGAATATGAACTTGTGGATTCCTTTCTCCTTCTCATGTTGCATCATGAATGCCTCATTCTTCCCTTAATGTAGTAAATTCATTGATGCCTGCATTAAGTGCTCTCGTCACAAACTTTTCTTCTCATTTGTTTGTCGTCATCCTTCCATTGATGCCTAATTGCCTAACCCTAATGCTCCTATCACAAACTCGTTTTCTCTTTCACACATCACCACTAATTCATCAATCATGCTATCACAAACTTCTTTCCTACTTCACATGACCGACCTTCTCAATGCTTACCCTTAGCCAGCTTTCATGATGATCTTCTCTTCTCCTTTAAACATTGCTTGCCTCATTGATGCGTTATGCTAGCTAACTCTTATGACAAAAGGGGAGCAAGCGAACCAAATTTGAATGTGAGAGTTCAAATTAATTTTAAAGTACCTCGACTTTAATAAACAAAATTTTATTTACTAAAGATTATTCATTATTGAAGTTAGTTTTATCCCAAACGAACAAATTTATGATTATAACATCCTGATCATGTAGCTCATTAAGGTTTCGTTTGGGACAATTATCTTATTATTTCTTTAAGCAGCTTTAAGAAGCAATAAAAAAAATCGTCTCAAACAAAACCAGATTTGAAATAAATTTTAGAATTATGATCAGCCTAGTTATTCCACTCACCCTTCTCATTTTAAAAATTACACTTACATCTTAAAAAAATATCAAGATTATTACAAAATATGTATATTTTGATTGTATTATGAGCATATAAAGTCAATTTTATGTTAAGAACTTCCGGCACAACTCACCCGAGGGAGCCAATCGCGTTCGAACTCGAATTTTGTCATCGCTACCGAAGACTAGCCCGTCGACGATGCTCCGACAGAGCTAGGATCTCACGCCCTAGAGTAACCCTAGAAGTAAGTTTCTCTCCCTATTAGAGCACGGGCTCACGCTAGTAATAAGGCCGGTTCAACATTAGTCGAGGGGTTGTTTGGCAAAAAGTGGGATTTAATAAATCTTTTAAATCCTGATATAGTAAATCTGAAATGTGTTAAATCCTGAAAACTTTTTGGTATGCTAAATGTTAAATCCTGTTAAATCCTGATAAACTTTTTGGCAACGTATATCAAGATTTATGACGGTTAGGGATTTAAATTTAAAGGAGATATTTATTAGGGCTTTCAATATTGGACCCGACCCGAACCCTACCCCAAAATTTCGGGTTTGGGTTGACCCAAACCCGAAGCCTACCCAACCCGAAAATTTCGGGTTTGAAAAACTGATCCGTTTACAAAACCGGGTCGGATTCGGGTTGACCCGAAAACCCGAAAATGACCGGTATAACACATAAACCCGACTGCCTGGAGACCGCTTGCCCGGCTGCGCCGGCCACGTCGCGTCGCTTCGCGTCCCGAGGCCTGTGTTTTTAACATTGATCAAAGTGACCAGATGACATATTAAATAAGCTAATTATATTAATATTTAATTACTAATTATATCATTAATTATTCAATTAAGTTAAGTTAAATAATTAATTTATGCACTAATTATACTATTAATTATTTTATTAATGTTTAAATTATATTAATTAGGGTTTGCCTTTCGTCGGCAACCGGGAAGACTTTCGGGCTCATTTTGGTGTTGAACATTCTGTTCAACTGGTTTTTTAGATTTCCTGTACCAATTTTATTTTTCTGAGCCTTCTTGGGACATATTTTGTTTCTTTGCCTTTGATTGTTTTGTTGATTACTTTTTCATTGTTCTCTAGCTGCTTTGTAGCTAGATTTTTTTCTTGTAATCATTTGGTATAGGTTTAATATACGGACTATGCCCCAAAATTTCTCAAAAAAAAAAAAAAAAAAAGGTTTGCCTTTCATCTTTTCTTTTCGTCGTTGAGTTGCTTTGGAGGAGGTGTAGAGAGTGCGCGCGTCGCTACTTCGGCTCCTTCGTGGCTGTTCGACTTCGCTCCTTCGACGACTTTCCCTTCCTGTCGGGTCGGAAGTTACGACATTTTGTTCGGAAGCAACAACGGGAGCTTGCTGGCTGTAAAGGTTCCCCCTTTCGCGCGTTTCTTCGGCGACTGTTGAGCTTCAGCGACACGGGCGCCGCGGGTAAGTCTTCCGCCACTCTTTAAATCCCGTTAAATCCACGGAACCGAGGGATTTAATAAATCCGGGATTTATGCCGTAAATCCGTAAATCCGGGATTTATTGAATCCCGCGATTTAACGCGCAGTAAAACCGTTTGGCTGGATTTGGCGTAAATCCGATACCAAACTGCTCTCTTGTCGTAGATTTTGTTCTTGGATTGTTTCTTCTTATTATTTAATTATTTTTCTTCAAATTTCTTCCTTTGTTACAGTTTGTAAGTATGACAATGGAAGATGATTCAATTGATCAAGCAACTAGCGAGCGCCGGGAGAGGCTCAAGGCTCTGAGAGCGGCTAAGGAGTACGCTAGCATGCCTGATGTTGATGGGGACGCCAATCAAAATAAGGGCTCGAAAGCAGAATTCGTGGCCATTGACCATGAAGAGAAGTGAGTTTTCTCCGTTCCAAATTTACACTTTCAGCGTTCTGAGTTACTTTGTCCTCTAAATTGAGCTTTTCCAACCCATTTCCGAGTTCTGATTTCCCTCTGTGGAACTGTGGAAGGAGCTGTTTGGTTATGTATAGATTGGATAAACTACAACAAGAATATTTATTATCCTAGATATTTGGTTTCTTAGAAAATCAGATTACGATTAATCCAATCGATATTCATGATTCGTGCGATTTTATATGAGAACTGAAGCCTAATCTGGGGAAGGATACGAGGATTGAGCATATTAGCCTAATAGAATTAACTAACCAGCCTACAATTAGTGGAATTTATCGTTCAACTCGATTGTACTCTTAACCCATGCTTTATAATGAGTTGATATCAAACTAGTCTTGTCCTGCTTAAAAACTAGTCTTGCCCTATGATTATTTTGTGTCCCAAATTGGCATTTTCTGGGAGCAGTTGCCATTAGTTTACGGTGTAAAGTTTATCGATCATGTTACTGTTTTTTTTTTGTTAAGCATTCTGGGATAATCTGATTAGAAATATTTTGAAAGAGCAGATGTTCATCATTTAATTTTCTACTTTATAGGATCGCAAATTATCTTTATCAAGTTGGTGAGTGGAAATCATTTTGGTCTTCCATGTTTACTACAAAGCTTGATTTACTGACTACTTTGTATCATAAGTTGCTTATTGCTTTTGCTGTGGGATGGTGAGAAAAGTTATTTCACTGTATGTTTATTGATAGCCGAAGTGAATCATGGATGGATTACCAGCGTATTGTTGTTTGTTTGGATAAATGGGATTTGGTTGCTTTCTTAAGGCCTTGTTGAGTAAAGCTTTAAATGGTGTTATACATTTCTTATGTTATTAGTTAAGGAAAAGGCTATTTCGTCCATTATTGTGTCATGTATTGCAGTGGAACAATTATACAGCGTTTAACATTATTGGAAATATTCTTGTTGCATTGTATGCATTGAACTTTCAGCATATTCCAATTAGAATATTGAATAATAGTGCTTTTTTTATTGGTCTTTGAGTGGATTATTCGCATAGCACTTCCAACGCTCTTTCTCAAAATCATGAATTCTGATTTGTATAGTCCAATTTGTTCTTCTCCGTCTGCTTCAGTAAGTTATACAAGTTTTTATTTTGTTGTCTTTGCTTCCTTTCTTCTTTTAATTAACTGTTAGAGAATTCATGTATTTGCTTTCAGGAGAGGAGATATTTCCAATTTATGTTGATAGTTTTTATGTTCGTTTTTTTCTTATTTTAACAAGTTTATTGCTTTCAAATCTTACATTGGGCCTGCCTATATGAATCATAGAAATGTTTAAAGGACTGGAACTATCTACCTGCCTTGATGAATCCTAGAAATGTTTAAAGGACTGGGACTATCTATTGCTAGTGCCGTGAAGAGATACATTAATAATTTTTAAAACTTATCATCCCCAGAGGTTATGGTTGAGGTGCTTTTGCTTCACATTTTAGTTTTTCCATTACCTGTTTAGTTGTTTACAGAAATTATTCTTTTTTTTTCTGAGTGCTTACTATACCAGGAAAGCCAAAACTTTTGAAGAAGATTTACCTGAGCAAGCTGCTTCTAGCCGGAGGGAAAGGTTAATGGCTCTTAGAACGGCAAAAGAACTTCTAAGTATGCCTGAGGACGGTTCAAACAATAGTAATGGCAAAGTTGAAGACACTGAGGAAGCTGAAGAAGATAAGTAAGCCTCTGGTTCCTTCATTGGACATTTATGAAGATTAAAACTAGTTTTTGTTTTATTTTGATGTATCTAAGTGCTTCTATACTTCTCATCTGCAAATCCGTTTTCCAGATTTTGTTTCATTTCTATAATAGATCTAGGCAAATGTTGTTTTCAATGAAGATTGTATATGAGATATGGATAAAATGCAGTTAGGCATGGATACACGGACATGGACAATCCTAGAAAGCATGATATTGCATTTAGAATTGTCATAGATCTATTAGATGTACAACAACGTAAGCCATAAAAGTTAAATGCATATATTCATGGCTCGCCTACATAACATTTAGGGGCTGTTTGGTTGCCTGCAAAGTAAACGCAGTGTAAATTAAATGCAGTGTAAAGTAAATGTAGAGCATTCCAAATATTTTGAGGCTGTTTGGTTACTGTAAAGTAAACGCAGGAGAACTGTTTCCCTTGTTTGGTTAGATATATCCAGAGTAAAATAAAAAGCAGTGTATTTGTAATATTTTTTTTGTCATTATAATTAGTATATTTATAAAAGCAGTTATAATTTTTTTTGAAATTATATGATATGATATTTGTAATTGAGAGAAATTTTAATTTTAATTTTAGGGATTAGAATTTAAAAAAAAAAAAACCAGGAACCATATTTTTTACATCCTTTTTTCAAGGAGGTGAGAGATTTATCTTTTATATATAATTAGATCAGTAAACTCTCATAACTGTGCCCGTAAGATTCCTAAACAGCGCTAAGTATCTCTGCTTCTTATTTTCCTAATAAGAAAAGCATACAAGATGGATTGGGTGAGAGGCTCCGCTATCGATCGAGGAAGCTCCAGTGCCGTCCATCTGGTCTTTCACCGCCGGAGCTACCCAGCTCCGACCATACATGCCGTCAAATATGCCCCACTCTCCTCTGTCTTCCTTCTTCAGCGCGAAGATGCCATACTCACCGAACTACATGGTTGCCCGCAAATAATCTCCTGCTTCGGTCACGACATCACTACAGATACTGTTGGTGGCGGAATCGATCGCCTCTACAACATATTCCTCGAATACGCCGCAAGTGGCTCCATCTCCGACGCCATCCGCCGTGCCGGCGGTGTTCTGTATATGCTCGTTTTGTATAACTAGGAGTGTCACTGCCATTATGACCTCATTCTTAGTCATCGGTCCCATCTTCTCCAATTTCTCCTTCGCTAGCTTTGGCTGGGAGTGGGGCGGCAGTTGAGGCAGCCGAAGCCCGCACAGTTGAGATCCCGGGAGAGACCCATATTTTTGAACATGATAAGAGATTCCGTAAGAGAGGGCGCGGGATCTGGTGGGAAGAGGTCTGAGGGAAATGGATGCGGAGGATTTGCGGAACCAGGCGAAGCGACGATGCGGAAACGTCAGCGCGATCGCAGGAATGGAGAAGAGAGCAAGGAAGAACGGAGAAGAAGGGAGAATATATGTCAGCTTCGGCGAAAGCATCCCCCAACAGCCGCAAAGAATTTCTAACCCGCTCAATTTGAGCGGGTTTCGAAGTCGCGCGAAATGCCTCCCCTAATACCCCGCTATTGCTTCGGAGGTATTCCTTTCATTCCGCTCAAAATTAACCAAACAACCGAAATTAGTAAATACCTGTAATTGTTTTACTTTACCCTCCTAATTCAGGCAACTAAACAGCCCCTTAATATAAAGGGTCAATTTTTGTCCTTATGTCTAGCGTAAGGCATAAGGTATATTTTTTAAGAAGAAACTAATATATTCAATGAGAAGGTTAAAGGCGAAGAAAAATTAGTGAAAAAATTGGATAAATGTGGAATCTAATTGGGTTAGTGATGCATGTCATATATATACGTGGGGACTTATATGCCATCATTGATTTTGATGGTTCATTTCTAGAATAGAGCTACTCAAATGCAGTTTCTGATGATGCTTGCATACGGGTATGATATATGGATAAAATGCAATTAAGCATGGATACAAGGACATGGAAAATCCTAAAAAGCATAATATTGCATTAAGAATTATTATAGATCTATTAGATTTACAGCGACACAAGTCATTAAAATTAAATGAATGTTTTCACAGTTCACCTGCATAACATTTAATCTAGAGGCTAACTTTTCTATCATTTTATCTAGCATATATTTTTAATGATGAAACTGATAAATGCAATGAGAAGGTTAAAGGCCAAGAAAAAACCCAATGGGAAAAAGTTTGGATAAAAAGTGGAACTTAATTGGGCTAGTGATGCATCAAATAGATGCATGTGGGAATATATATGCCATATTTGATTTTGATGTTTCATTTTTAGAATAGAGCCATGCAATTGTTGTTTCTAGTGAAGCTTGCATGTGTGTATGAGATATGGATAAAATGCAACCAGGCATGGATGCATGAACATGGAAAATCATAGAAAGCATGATATTATGTGTATAATTATTACATATTACATTTACAACAACTCAAGTCATAAAATGCAAATGTTCACAATTCACTTGCATAACATTTAATAGAATAGCTGCCTTTTTCTTCATTATGTCTAGCATATGGCGCAAGAAATTTTTTTGATGAAGAAAATGTTATATTGAATGAGAAGGTTAAAGAAACAAAAAACTGATGGAAAAAAATTTGGATAAATGTTGAACCTAATTGCGCTTGTGTTACATAACATCTTAGGATCTTGGGTTAAATAAATGATATGAAGTATGAAAACACATTTCGATTTGGATTTTTGTGGTTCAAAAGATCATCATTTAAAATAGCCAGTTGCTTTCTTTTGATTTAAACTTGAAAATGGAGGAATTTTGGTCAAATGGTAATTCAATGATCTATGTGTTGAACTCAATTCTATATCTTGTTGATTGGACTATCATTCATTAGCTTACACTGGTTAAACAGATGCATAATAAGTGACACAGTGCGTGCTTAGTAGAAAAAATGTTATCTCAAATGAGAGTTTGTTTTTGGATAGAAAGGGAAGGGAATGAAATAAATGCAATATGTGGATTGGTTGTGAATCGGTGATTTGAGATTCTCAGTTCTTTTTTATGATTTCACTCAAATTCTTAACATCCAAATAAAACCTTTTATAATTTTTTTTTTTAACTTGGCATATTTATTTTTTCTTAGCTTTGAAGTTTTTTAATGTTTGCAGTTTGCACCAAAGATGCAATTATCCTTTCACAGGTAGCCCCCTTTAGTTGCACTTAAAAAGCAAAATTAGTAGGAAATGAGAATAAGGTGATTGTTAATCTTCTGAACATGTTCTACTGGATTGTTTGGTCAGTGATCAAATGGCCATTATCCAACCTTTTTATTTTATCTAATTTCTAAATGCTTATAATCCATGAGTTCTGCTTCTTTGTGCAAGGCCTAACCCTGGATGCATTTTTCATCATATATATATATATATATATATATATATATAACCATAATTGACACGACTTATATCATTCAAGGGTATTCATGCTAACAAACTTTCAACATTTTATTTTAATCCTTCCGAATATTACATCGACCATGTTTTCTTAAGAAAATCATCATGATTTCTTAGATTCATGTGTTGCCTTGGGGGAAATTTACATTATTTTCTTTTAATCTTTCTTTTCAGAGCACCCAACATGAAGTTCCGAAATTACCTTCCTCATGACAAACACCTTCAAGAGGGGAAATTAGCTCCAGTTGATTTACCAAAGTTCGAAGATCCTATTGCCCCTGTTCAACAACCCTCGGATAAAATTGAGGTATGCAGCCATGATGTTTGCTACACCAAATATAGTTCTATATTCTTTCCTCTTTCCTTCACACGTACTCCTGGTTGATCCCAAAATACAGGATCCTTTTTTGAACATTGCCCCAAAGATGCAGCCATGAATTTTGCTACACCAAATATAGTTCTATATTCTTTCCTTCACACTTACTCCTGGTTGATCCCAAAATACAGGATCCTTTTTTGAACATTGCCCCAAAGAAACCAAACTGGGATCTGAGGAGAGACGTGCAGCAGAAGCTTGACAAGCTTGAGAGACGGACTCAGAAAGCATTATATGAGCTAATGCGTGAGTAATGAAATCTCAGTGGATTATATATATGAATCGGATTTATAAGCAATCTTTTAGTTTCAAATTTTACTTGTTCATCCTGCAGTTGAGCAAGAAAAGGAGAAAGCAGCCATGGAACTTGAGAATGCTGGAAATGAAGATTGATCGTTTGAATTTTATTGTGTTCTTCAATAGGTTTCTCAGTCAGATATAATTAAGAATTTCAGTTATCGTGTTGGTAGAGACTGCTGTGTAATTAGAACTTTGCGATCTTGCCCTTGTTGTTTCAAGTCTTAGTAAAATTTGGCAGCTTTCAGTCGTCCACGTGGCTTGATTTTTCTTTATCATTGATGAAGATTATCACTTAAAATACTTAAGGTTGGTTTTTATTGATCGGCGTATAAGATGAATATACTCTTTGCACTCTTTTAGGTGATGAAATTAGCTCCCATAAAATTATAGCACTTCAAAATTAACATTTTATGATCAATAGATCGGAATAGTTAGCATCATTGAGTGATTCAATACTTCAATGCACAATTTGAGTATGTAACGGCCCTTTTCCAATATTTTGTTTAATGTATCTAACTATCTAAGAATGTGAAGAATTGTAGTTTTGGGATGGGAATATGGGATCATTGTTTGATTCTATTATAATGAGTAACCCAGCTAGCTAGGTTGGTGGGCGAGCATGGTTGGGACCTCTCAACCCACGTTCGATTTCTCTCTCATGCGGCGCGACTCGTTAAGTGGGGAGAAAATAAGTGCGTTGTCTGGCACATGTTGGGCTAGCTCACTGGTGGATTGATTATTCCGCCAAGCATCTCCTCTAGGGGGTGGTAGCAGGTAGATACCTATATTCTCAAAAAAAAAAAAAAATTATAATGAGTTTTAATCATTACATTTATAGTTGTGATTTGGCTTTGGAATACGAATTGAATGTCCACTAAATAATAAATTCATCTTTTATCGAGTAATGGTATACTTTAATGTATTTACTATTTAGTCTATATATTGTATCTTTTATGCTGTCAATGTTTTTTTTTTTTTTTTGGGACATTTAGGTTATTTAAGGCAAACTCACACATACAACGCATACACATAGACTCGAACCCTGAACCTCTTAGTTGGAAGCCTATGCTCTGAACCAATAGGCCAAGGAGAGTTGTGAAATAAATGCAATATGTGGATTGGTTGTGAATAGGTGATTTCATGTTTTCCTTGGAGGATTTGTAAAGGCTGTCGGAGAAGAATTAAATGACACGTTCTTGAGAGATGTTTTCAAGTCTTCCTACATTATTTGAAATGTAAGTGATGTATTACAAAAAATTGTCTTGATTGTGCTCAAATCTCAAGATATATTCATACAATAAACTTCCAAAATTAAAATAAGAATAATCTATGCTCTGATTTCAACAAACTTATAAGAGACAAACCCAATGACATTAAAATTAGTCCAATCGAGCTCAAATGAACTCAAATCAAGAGTTCAAAACATGCTTGGAGGCTTCAAAGCATTAATTGAATAACTAAACAATCATCAAATATGATATGCTTGTAGTCGAATTGAGAGGCTCAATGAGTCGAGTTCAACGAGCTCGAGATCATCACATTCTGACATCATTAATGTTCTTAAATGCTCAATCAACAATCTATGATCGAAGGAATCGCTATTAGTCGTCCAACTGAACACTCCTAACTTGCCCATGATCTTTTCACTATTTATGGGTCATGTCAGTCTAAAAAAAATTATAAATAAGTCTTTCATTCTTCACATGAGAGGGGAAAAAGGAGGAGAGAATAGGAGAAGGATTTAGGAGATTTCTTACCTCTGACCACCACTGGTCGCCAAAGTTGTTCTCGAACACCACCGAAGTTCTTCTCAACCACAGTCGGACTTCTTTCTGACCGCCATGGGAGTTCTTCTCGAAAGCCGCCGATGTTCTTCTCAACCACCACCAATGTTATTCTCCACCGTTGTCAGAGTTCTTTCCGACAGCTGTCGGACTTCTTCTAGATCACCAACGAAGTTCTTCCCGACAGCTATCGGAGTTCTTTCTGACTGCCATCTGAGTTCTTCTTGATCACAGTCAGAGTTCTTCCCAACCACAACTGCAGCTCTTTCTAACCATCACTGGAGTTCTTCCCGACCTTCGAAAGTCACCGAGCTTTCACCCGTTTGTCGACTACGTTAGATCTCTTTACAATCACCGACCGCTAAAATGATTTTCGCTCGTTCATCTGCCATCCATTCCAGATCATAAGCATCTATTTGAAGTTCGACAAATTTCTTCAACATATTGTATTTTATTTGTATTTAAGTTTGGAACATACCGGTCTTTTTATTTTATTCAAATAATAGTGGAGTCATTTTAGCAGGGCGAGACCCCGTGGTTTTTCCTCTTTATAGGGTATTCCACATTAAAACTCTATTGTCCTCTTGTCTCTTTAAGTTCCTATTTGTATGCTTAATTTCTATGCATAACTAGGACGTAAAGTCTTTGCACTCAATCGTTTTGAATCTCACAGCCAGCAACAATAAGAATTATGATTCTCTTGCATTGTCATCCACTTGTATAGTAGAGACGAGTTGTATGATCTATGTTTTGACCTCGGTTTTCGCATGTTTTCTTTCGAGTATGCTCAATCAATTTAATCTAACCCTGCCAAACCTAGTTCGGCTCAAATCGGTGCCGATTTGAGTTCAATTCATCATATTATTGGAATCGAAACTAATTAAACTCAATTCAGATTCAATTTCAAACCTAATCAACCCACTTGATTTAATAAATTTTAATCAACTTGATAGCCCTTCCCAAATCAAGAAATCAAATCAGCAGCTCATTTTTTTCTCTAACCGAGTGTGCGCTGCATCATCTACTAGAATCCCATGATTCAAACGAGTTTTCTAAGGCCCAAGCGAGCGATAAAACCCTTATTCCGTGCCGTGTCTAGAAAAGCCGACCGAGGAAGAGGCAGAAATTTTTTTTCTTGGCTATCATATCTTCTTTCCCACGTTCCCGTATAGGCTCCCTCTCCCTGTCCTTCTCTGGATCTCACGCCTTTCTCCAGACTCAAGGCAGCGACCTCTTCCTCTCTCGTTCGAACAGAGCCGCACGAAGCCTCCAGCCGGACAGCACTCCGACTCTCGTTTTTCTCCTCTTTCACACCAGCAGGCCTCCACAGTCACGAAGCCTTCCAGCCGCACGACCCCGACTCCCGAGCTCGACCCGACCAGCTCACGACCCGAGCCTTCTTCCGCCTCCAGCCGAACTCAACCTCGACTTCCTCCAGCTGATCCCGAGCACCCGTTCAGCCCCGGCCGCAGGTGACCTTCTTCTTCCTCCCCATCCTCTTCTTCTTCTTCTTCTTCTTTTTTTCTCTTATTCCTCATAATGATAAATTGGAACCAAGAGCAAAAAAGGTAAATTTTATTAGCTTCAGGCGTCGGGTTAAGGGCTTAAAACTCTATGATCATGGAGAGAAGAAGATTGTCATTAGCAAGCATATTACATTTAATGAGGCGAGTATGTTGAAGGTGGAGAGTTCTATTGGGACTACAAATGTACTGCAAAAGGTAGAATTTGATGCAACTCCATTTGTTTCACAGACATATCACTTCTACACATGTAATTGATTCAAATACTAATCAAAGGTAAGAGATGTAGAAGATGAGATTCCAGCTCAAGAATTTATTGTTAGGAGCAGGACCATGCACCAAAATTCCTAAAACCAGTTTGGTTGAGGGACCAAATTGTATTTGCACTTTCAACCACAAAGGTTGAACTTTTAAGTCGTTACAAGGAAGCAGTGGACAGTCTAGATGGTGATCTTTAAAAGAGGGCAATGATGAAGAGATGGAGTCTTTTCATAAGAATATTACTTTGAGGTTGGTGAAGCTTGCTCCAGGAAAGAAAGCCATTGGATGCAAATGGGTGTGTGCAAAGAAGGATCTTATGAAGCTGATGTGTGATAAAAGGGTAGGTTAGTGGCAGAAGGCTCTGCATAACAAAAAGGGATTGATTATGATGAAGTTTTCTCCCCAGTAGTTAAGCATCCCTTGACCCGTGGTCCTATATTATGATTTTGGAGTAGCTCAATCAAGACATTGCACATGTAGTTGGCGTTGTGAGAAGGTTTATGCATGATCTAGGAAGGAGTTATTGGTAGGCTGTGAAGAGTTTCATGTGGTATATGAAGGGTATAATTGATACAGGCTTGGTTTTGGAGAGGTAGACATCTGTTGCTACCAATTACATTGATGTAAGATGTCATTTTTGTTCGAGACTTGATTGTTGAAGGCAATATGTAGTTGAGGAAGACAGTTACAAAAGAGAATCCAACATACGTGCTCATAAAGGTATCTGCTGTGGGCATTTCGTGAACATTCGGGTTTTTTTATTGATTATCTACTTGTTTTGAATAATTATGCTTGGCTTGATCCTTTGGAGGGGGGTACATAGGAAACCATCTTGGTGCAGTCATTTTGATATTAGAGTCTATTTTCTCATCTTCTATTTTTTGAAGTGAAATATGAGGTGGAGATTAATGATTTGGAAATCTTTTTCAAATCTAATGAGCTTGGATTATGAAAGCATTTAGTGGCTAATTCATGCATTAATTAGGAGATATGATTTTGTTTGATTCAATCATGCCATTAATTTGGTTTGTCATATTATTGCATTAATTATGTATTCCTTAATTGTTTTATTTCGATTCTATAAATTAAGGGTTTGAGGATTGTTGTATGCAACAGAGGAAGAGAGAGCCAATTGTAACTCTTATTTTTCTCCAACATAGTTAAATCATGCCCCCCAGTGTACGCAAGCATTTTCACGAACCACATAAATTGTCGTGTTCTTTGTGTTGATTGTGCTTTGATCCTGGTTTTGTTTCCACTATTTGCACAATAGGCAATGCATTTAATGAGGAGGAAGAAGGGGAGGGGAAGCCAGCTGCTTGTCAATTAGAATAAGGAAGAGTTGGAAGTCTCAATTGCAGAGATGGACAACAATGTTGTTGTTTAGGGTCAGAGGGGGGTTGAAGGAGGTGCAAGAGAAGAGAGTGTAGAGGTCGACATTTGAGAGGCATTGAAGGATCATGTCAATGATGGAGGGGAAAAGGGGGGGGGGGGGGGGATTGGGGTGAGGGGGGGGGGAAAAGGGGGGGGGGGAGGTGATAGTGGCAGTGAGGGACGCAGTTTTGGAGTGGGTGAGGACAATGCTGGAAATGAAGGTGGGGAGATTAATGTTGGAAATGAGGTGGAGTGGTGGCAGCAGGCTGCGAGAAGGCATCCAGAGATTTGCAGAAGAGCAAATGTCCGTTTTGGGAGCCAAGGATATCTGTAACGTTAAGTTAATTCTGCCAGTGTAACCGTGACCCGTCCGCTATTTCGATTTTTTTTTTTTTTATTATTGTAGCTGAAGGGGAGCGTTAGCAACTGTTAATTAAGCAGAGATATTTGTTCTTGTTGCTAAATTTATTCATGGATTCGGAATGTATTTATAATGCTCATACGCGATGCTTCAAGCTTGTGATTGATAAAGATAAAAACAAAATAAATAATCTATTTTTAGATTTGTATATTTTATTTCATATTAAAATATAAATAAAATAAAATTAAAATAAATAAAAATTAACTCATACGGCCTCGAAGTACCAACCAATTAGAGAAACTCATATTATATTAGCGCATATGGTAAAGACTTCTGACATTCTTAATGCTACACCGATCTCCATTCTACTACCCCCTTCATGTAGACAAGAGCAAGAGTTATTCCACCTAAAGCTTGCAAGTCCAGACAGGCTGGTTTTCTCCTGTTAAAAAATCACTTATTCTGATTATAGAAGGGATCAGTGCACCATTGGTGGGCACGTTTGCATGAGAGTTTATGAAATAGATCATTATGATTGAACTAAGCCCCCTTTCAGACGCCTAGACAGCAACTATCAGTGCAATTTTCAAGCAAGTGGCTTGTCTTACCTTATTTGCTGTAACTTTTTTGAACCATGCAGTCTGAAAGTCGCCTTTACTTCTTTATTTAAATTAATGTATATTACTTTTATAGAGATTGTAGTTGTTATTTTAGAAAATTATGAATGACTGTTTTTTGGTTTTTCAATTATCTTTTATGTGACCATTGTGGCTGTTGTACTATTAATTATTGCAGTTCTCTATAGGGGTGTCAATTCAAATCAACGTGTTTGGTTCGGGTCGAACCTAACTTGATTCGGCCTTAAACAAGTTGACACTAACCTGACCCAGTTTTGCAAACGGGTCATAATTGTCAAACCGGACCCAACCCGTACGGGTTATCGGTTTGATCCAACCCAACCCGCGAGAGAGGGACGGCGGCAATTTTCGGCTCTCGGGCAGTCCGACAGCGGCATCTTAGGCGAGACGGTGGCAACGACAGTCGCACCTCGCAGGTGGGACGGCAACGACAGTCTTCGGCTCTTTCTCATACCGCTGGCTTCAATGACGATAGCAGCACTGCAGCAATGCGGGCGGGACGACGGTAGGCCGACGGCGGTGACGCGCCCCTGGGTGACTCGACTGAGTGACGAAACTGGCCACGCGGGATTACAAACAGGTCGACCAGCTGGTTTTCAGGTCAACCCGAACCCTACCTGTTTTGCAAACGGATTGACCCAAACCCGAATTTTTTTGGGCCGGGTGGGTTTCGGGCCGTGTCAAATTTTGACACCCCTAGCTCTCTGTACATTGCAAACTCAATGCATGAAACCTTTAATGTCGGATGCTGCATGGTCTGAATTAGAAACCCAATCATCTATTTAAAGTGTGCAAGGTGTTTTCACCTCCAGCTTGGGATGACTGCAACTTGTGTAATGATAACTGAGAACCATAATTCTCTTTTTCTTTCAGAAATAATTCGTATCCAATTATTTCAGTATCATCATTAGTCAAGTTGGTAAAGATCTTTGGAATTTGTTACCGTAGTCCTAAATTCGAATCCCTCCTAGATCAATAAATCCCCATCAAAGGCTCTCTCTCTCTCTCTCTCTCTCTTACTTAATGAATTATTTTCTTTTGCAAAGATGAATAACATTTAACATAATCTGCAGAATAAACTGCAAGATGGTGAATGCGATCAAAGGTATATTCATTTCCTGGTATGTAGCGATCACTATTACTTCAAACGGTTATGATCCAAATAGTTAAATAAAGTTATAAACAAAATATTCTTTTGCAGTGATGTTCCAATGGCGCAGTTCATTGTCAATATGAATGCTTCGCTACCCGCTTCCCAGAAGTTCATCGTGCACATCCTGGACAGCACCCACATGTTCGTGCAGCCTCACGTAGTGGAAATGATACGCAGCAAGATTGCAGAATTCAGAGAGCAGAATACCTATGAGAAGCCGGCTTGAGATTTCTCTGTATGGATCTTAAACCTTATTATTGGCTTTGATTCTAATGCTAAAATAAAACGAAGAATTGGAAGCTATTTTTGAAAATATTTATGGATTTTGCTTCCACTTTTTTTGGATGCTTGGAAGTTTGGTGTTGAAAACATATTGACAATAGTTCGCTATTAAAAAAAAAATTATTGAACTATTTGATACCGACATAATAAATGGCAAATTATTGGGTTCGGACACCGGATGTGTTTGGAGCCCAATGAAAATGCGCCACATCACCGCCCATTCGGTACTGAGCAGTACCAAACAGTACCGAGCTCAATACTGCGAAATACCGAACATAAGCTATGTTCGGTGTTCGAACCCAATAATCTCTCCACATAAACGGTTGATGAACCAATTATACGAGGCCGACTGTCTTAATTTTCATTGAAAACAAAATGTAAGAAAAAATGCTGCGACCTCTTCTATTATGGTTAAGATACCACCTCTTGTACTCTTAGAGACTTTTCCGATAAAGAAAGAAACTAATTATAAGAGATTCAAATAAAAAAATTTAGCATGTAAAGTAGGATTTCAGATCATAATTACTCCTAGAGACTTTTTGAAATCATTAAATTTGTTATTTTATGATTGTCATAATATAAGATAAATCAATTAAATATTCTCATACTTATCTTAAAATTTAAACAATATGTGCCTTTTTTCTTAACTTAAGGTTCAACTATTAAGTTTAGCATGATAGATACATCACTCGAGAATAGGGATGTGAGTCAAGCCAATTTGTGAGCCGATCGAGCTTAATTCGATAAATGGTTTGTGAGCCAAACTTAAACTAGTCCTGACTGATTTGTTATCTTGTGAACAGGCTAATTTAAAAAATATACTTAAAATATATTAAAATTCAAAATTGTAAGTACAAAATTATTTAAAATGTTTAAAAATTATATCTTATTTTTTATATTAAGTTAATTTTATTACTTCTTTTTATAATTTGTCATTCTTTTTAACATTTTATTGGAATAATTACTTACATCATAATCATTTTCTTTCCAAACCAACTCATGAGAGGGCTCGAACTCGTATAATAAAGCTCGAACATGTACTCGATTAATTAATCAAGCTCAAGCTAGAGGTGATTCAAGTTTGACTCGACTCGTTTACACCCCTACTCGAAAAAGATATTGATGTCATGTTTTAAATGTTTGTATATTGAAAGAAAAAAAAAAAGCTGCTTGATTTGATCAAACAAATCAACGAGGCTCAGTTACTAAAGCATCATAAATCTGCTCTCGATAAATTCTCGCTGCCCAAATTCTTACTCCAATCGCACAATATATGAAGAACATTTCATATCTTAGTTTCCTAGAAAACAATTTCACAAAATTCACCTTCCTTAATGTACAGGTTGCAGGAAAACCTACTCAAGAAAAAGCTATCAAGAATAATATAACAAGGAAAGAGTTTTTCAGGGCAAAGAAGGATGGAAGAAAGCAGACATTCGATTTATTGCACAGATCATTTGCTTTATAAGACGATTCAGTGAGATATGCATGTAAAAACCTGGGCACTAGGAATTCTCTATCACTTGTATGTTTTTCCTATGTACTTTCGCTTATTTATATGTTGAGTTGATTGGTCTCTCCTGCGCTCCATGAGGGATCCAATGGCGGAAGCTGGTAATCATCTGGTTTAAGGGCAATCATGAAATCTGGCAACGAAGGTGCAGTCTCCATAATCCTACAAAAGACAAAACAAGAGAGTGGATAAATCTCAGTATTGGGATTAAGGTTTCATTTAGGACAGTTTTTTTACTGCTTTTTAAAGCAGCTTATTTGTAATACAAACTGCTTTAAGAAGCAACAAGAAAACCATCCCAAACGAAGCCTAAGAGTAATGTTTCTCACAACAACAAAGTTGATACATTTAAGCATCATCTCTATGATATTTGCCATAGAAAAATATTATGTTGGTTGACCACTAGGATTGTAAACGAAGTTCTGCGCTCCATAAAAAAGATAAGAGTTTTTGTAATAAATTCTGAAAAAGAATGAGATGGTCACTTCATATCAAACTTTCTTGTGGCTTCTTACTGTAAGATAATTATGAGGACACACTACTCCTTTCATGTCAGTCTTCCCTTATTTTTAAGTCAGTATTTTGAACCATGAGTCTATGTAAGTGGAGTTGTATTGCTAGATGATTTGAATTGAATTGAGTATTGTCTTCTTTCTAAAATTTCTCTAGTTTCTCACTTCAACTCTATTCTCTTCATTTTCTCTTAATATGATATTATCTTCCTCAATTTACCACTAATTTACTAATCTCATTTACCTTTAAACTTGATACAAATTACATCATTTAATATCAAAACTTTTAAATCTAAAGCATCTTCACAACTAAGCTTCCATTGTGGATCATACCTTGCCTGATTTGCATCCCAACACCAGGATTTTAAGTATATTTGATTTATTTTACGTTAATTTTTTTCTTTTTTTGGAAGCCATACATTTATTAAGAGGTTTGATGGAGAAACATAGAGAAAATAAGGAGGATCTACATATGATATTTATTGATTTAGAAAAAGCATATGATAGGCAACTTGGATAAGACAAGTTTAAATTTAGCTTTGATTATTGTCTAATCATTTCTAGTTATAAATAGGGTAGTCTACGTAAATCACAATGGAATAAGATGAATTTGAAATCAACGTTTCTCCGTTCTAGAAAGTCTTCTTTCTAGGGTTTCACCTTGTTTTTTTGTCTTTAAATTGTGCCTACTCTAGCCTCTCCCCCAGCATTCCTCATCTATCTACTTAATCCTCTTCTCTCTACCTCATTAGTTCTCCTCCTATGCTTAATTCATCTTTTTTTTTTCCCACAGCTTTGTCACGCAACCTCTTGATAAAAATGAAACATAACAGTTTCTTCTTTTTTTTTTGGCCGTCATTGTGGAGAAAGGAGTACGGAAATGCACGAGACTCCAACCAATACGATGTATAGGAATGAAATGGCGTGTCACAGTGTGTTGCCTTATGCTTTATATTATAGTCTAATTTTATGATTCCAATTTGAGCCCTTCAGGTCAGTCATAATATGCAACCATATCATTGCTCTGGTTTTGCCATGAGTAATTTGAAGATAAGCCCAATTTTCACAGACGAGTGGCATGTTCTTGGTTATCCTTTTCTGGGCCAACTGGCATCACTCTTTACTACGAACTAAAGATCAGTTTTTTAACTTCTGAAAAATAAAATCAAATATAGTAGAGCTGGGCTAAAAAAGAGTCTTACTTCTCTTGGTTGTAAAGGTCCCTATTGATGCGAACTTTGCTGGAAACATCTTTAGGAATCTTCTCCGAAAGGTACTTCATAGATCCCCAAATAGGTGGATTCCTGTAAAGAACCAGTATACCACAAAACATAGTAAGAATCCGACACAACAAATTGTTCATCCCTTACATTTAATAATGGAAGTAAAGAAAAATGTCAATTTATGGATGCATTAGTATAAAGTTTCTCCATCTTGGTGCACTTTTTGCATTAGAATGTCAGGTAACTCAGTCACATGATTGATGCTACCATTTTCTATTCAAGTTTGAGTTATCGTGATTTAAGGTTTCAGCTTTCAAAAAGAGTTGTCAATGTTGGAAACAATGCAAACAGGTTATTTTCTTTTTGATAGGAAACACTTGGATCTCACCAAAACCAATAGATCCAAGATGAAAACTGCTGTCCACAACAGTAAAACAGCCAAAAACAGTAGAAAACAGGGAAAATCTGAGAGAAAAATGAAGAAACAACTTGTATTTTACTAGTAGATGCAAGGAAAATAGCAAAGATACAAGGATCCTCTATTCGAGAGGAGGATCGCACTCTCCCAATCTCTAGATCTCGATCTAGAGCCCTCACTATCCAAGAAGACAAAAGAAATTCTCACAAAACATGACATAACCCTAATTCCTCTCTTTCTCCCTACTTAATGCATTCTAATTCAAAACAAAAGCAAAAGGACATCTCTACCCTTCCTTCTCCCTCCAAAAATACTTCAATTTTGTTTGAATTCCAAGTGTGTTGAACCTCATGTTATACCCAAAGAAAACCAAAGGAGATGAAAGAAAAATAGAAATCCTGCATACATACCTCATGTCCGTTGGATCCCGAAATCACGTCGATTCGGCGCCGAACTGATCAAATCCCGTAAATCCAGCCGACGTTCCTCGCGGGATT